AACAGGGGATGACACGGACATGCAATGCGCTCATTTCCACCATGAATGCTGTCAAAAATGTGCGCCATGGTGGCGAGATGTTAACTACCTCGCCTGGTATACAGGAAGTCGTGGGTTCGCTCCCGACCCTGATGCCTGTATATTTGGAGTTTGCACGTTCTTGTCGTGGTCGTGTGGATTTTCTGCGGGTTCTCCAGTTTTGTGGTCTCCAGTTTTGTGGTCTCCCAAATTGTGACGCTATAGTTGTAAAATTATATTCTATAGTTGAGTGATTTTTTTTCCTCCTTATTCTTTCGAATAAGCAACCATTGGTTGATGTAACAAACTAATGTTCGGTAATTATTTTGTGTGGTTGTTCTCTGCACGGGAGGCTATGTACGGCGCGAAAGAAGTTCACCATACATACGCGGGAACGATCGAGTATCGACGTGAACTCGCCGCTCTGATCTCACTGATGTAGCTCTCCGACATGTTTCCCGGTTGTACTGCTCACCGTTCTTCTGCAACATGTCCGACGTTTCGTTCCACGTGCTGGGCTCCATTTCAGGAACCATCATGCCAGCTCGTAGATCGAGATGTCGGACGTCCTGCCGAACAGCATGCGGGTACAACCAGATAAAAAAAAAGTACAGCGGAGAACAAGACGGCACAATGGTGAAAAGTTGTGCGGTTGTCTCTCGCTGATATACTCCCCCAGCCATATAATCCTTCTCTTAGGCATCGCCATTCACTCGCTTGGCCGTAGTACTTGCCTGCCTGATTAAATCGGCAAGCGATCTCTATTCTGCTGTCAGCACTCTGGCAAATATTGCCTCTCAGGTTCTCAGCTTCCCACTCTCTCCATGATAGAAGATTGCATTTTATGCTCTGCTGTTCCCACACTAACTGTGGGAACAGCAACAGCCTTCCTATGATCTGTAGCCCTCGGTGTGAATACAAACATCATCGAAACATTCTTCACTGCTGGCTGATAGTTTTAGTTTACAGCCCTCTGTCGATCCATTGCTGGATGCGGACCTCCCCAAGCCTTGTCAGACATATGTGGGTGCTTTGAACGTGCTTCAGCACGCGAGGCTTTAATGGGATATGATTGGTCAGTTTGGGTTTGTGAAGGGGGGGTGCCTGAGGACAGATTCAGATATCACTTGCCACTAAATGTTAGTCATGACCGAGAATTGAACTCGGGTTGCCAACGTCACAACGCGTTGTGCTGCTTTGCCTCCTCATCGCCCCGCCGACTTTAATTTACGTGAATTTGATGGTATTTGTTCCTGTGTAAAACAGGTGTGTTATTCTTGATGCACGAATCGTCTTATCGTGACCGAATCGAATCGTGACCAGACCTCCAAATCGTGACACTGCGTTCATTATTTCGTCTGCATTAAAGTTGATTTCCATTCGGCGTGGGTTCTTATGTTGTTTAGCTGTACTTTTAAAAAAAAATCTTGTGTGTGGGGGCGGGGGGGTTTGTTGAATTTTTTAAGTGGCTGCCAAAACTTGTCATTTTCCAAGGGCGATGGTGCATTCGACTTGCCTGCCTCGCAGCGACAGTGAGACAGAACAGTGGAACCATTCTTCTGTCCCGGTTGGGCTCTTGGTGTTGGGACTTGATTGATTGTAAAGATAGGAAAATAAATAACGACGGGAGGGGGGGGGGAGCTGCAAAGCAAAACACTTAGTCAACATTTCCTCCCTCGTATTTATTTATTTATCTTAAGTGAAATGAAATCACTTTGCAGAAGGCACGCTGCACATGTCATTGACTGAAATTTACACATCCAATGCCAGAGGGTTCGATGGGAAAAATTCGTTTTGCCGCCGCCCCCCCCTTTACATCGCATTTACACAGCAATTTGAATATTCTTTTTTTGAGATTCACTTTTCAATTCGGCCCAAGCACTGGCTTTGCGTACTGCAGTCCGTATTTGTACCGAGCAGTGTAATAACGATTGCGTGGGGCGATGAAACACGTCGGGCATATACAGGAATCGTTTGTTGCCATGCACTGCTGTGGTGCGTGTTATTGTTTTGTAGCGACATTATTTTTTCACTGGAGAAACCCCTCCTCTTAACGACGGGACTTGGTTCCACGAAACCGGTCATTAAGTGATTTGGCCGTTAAGCGAGTATAGGAAATGCACATTAAAGGCTTAATTCGTTCCGATAGCATGGAAAGTTAAAATGTTTCACCCAAAGAACGTACTTTATAGTATTTAAACAATGGATATCAATACAGAAATATACTAACAACATGATAAACACATTATCACAAAAAAACATGGTTAATAAATGCATTTATTATTATTTACTGTTCCTACATCAGCCCGCCGTTACGAAGGGAATGGTCGGTAAGCGAGGACTTTGGGCTCTATGGAGACCCGTCGTGAAGCGATTAGTCGTTAACAGGGGTCGTCGTTAAGAGGGGTTCTGCTCTACACTACCATACTCTACACTACTATACACTACACTATACACTACACTACTCTACACTACCATACACTACACTACTATACACTACACTACTATACACTACACTACTATACACTACACTATACACTACACTACTTTACACTACACTACTATATATTACACTACTATACACTACTATACACTACACTATACACTACACTGAGCTCTATGGAGGCACGTCGTTAAGCGATTTGTCGTTAACAGGGGTCGTCGTTAAGAGGGATTCTGCTCTATACTACCATACACTACACTACTATACACTACACTACTATACACTACACTACTATACACTACTATACACTGCACTACTATACTCTGCACTACTATACACTGCACTACTATACACTACACTACTATACACTACACTACTATACACTACTATACACTACACTATACACTACAATACTATACACTACAATACTATAAACTGCACTATGCACTACACTACTATACACAACACTACTATAAACTACACTATACACTACACCACAATAAACTACACTATACACTACACTACTATAAACTACACTATACACTACACTACTATAGACTACACTATACACTACACTACTATAAACTACACTATACACTACACTACTATAAACTACACTATACACTACACTACTATAAACTACACTATACACTACACTACTATACACTACACTATACACTACACTGGGCTCTATGGAGCCCAGTGTAGTGTGTGGACCTCGCTGAAGCCGCATTGTTACTCTCTTTGGCTACTTTACGTAAGAATGTGAGATAAGAACAATGTGAGCTGATTTTCTATGTTCTTGTTACTTAAGTAAGTACTTCAGGTGCATGTGGTTAGCGCAACTGCACTGACTGATTACCTGATTTTCCGAGTGCAATTCCTCGCCACGGCTGACATCAATGGGGGGGGGGGGGGGGGGGGCGAGTGACCCTCTGAACTGGTAGTTGCCTCCACCTTCACCCAATCCCCATTGACCAGCGTGATGAAGTACTGTTAAAACAACCCCCATGACCAACAACTTTATACTGTAGCTCACAAGCAGAAGAACATTTTTTAGGTATTAAAGTAACTTTTTTTGGCGATTTCATTAAAAAAAAACGCATTCTGTGTTATTCTGTGGCAAAGGAAGGATTCTGGGTAATACCATTGGTGGCCCTGAGCTTGTGATGGTAACTCCACATTCCAGTGGTGGAGCCAGTCAATCTATATGACAACAACAACTGTTGACTTGGTACACATTATTTTTCATCAACCTCAAAGAGGCTGGGGATAAATTGTTCCCTGACCAGACTTTCAACCTGCCACCTTCAGATTGAGTCGAGTGGTTAACCGCAGCAGCACAACCCAGCCACATTAAGCATGGCCGTATTTTCCAGCTATACGATTCACTCCCCCCCGTATTTTAAAGCAAAAGTTGGAAGTGCATCGTATAATCAAGTAGAATATGGTACGTGGTTTAGTTTTAAAACACTTTGTGTAGAGGGAGGTAGAAGAGGCACTGCATGTTCACTGCAGAAACGCAGAAATGTGTGATGCACCCGTGATCCATTGTCTACTCTGGTTTCCGGTTTAAGATGCAGCAGCAGCTGCAAAAAAGAATCCACTCCTGAAATGCCTTTGGGTGATAACCCATACATTTTGGCTCCATGCCCACAGCCAATCTGCATTTTATAAGAACGAGAAAGAGCAACATTCTTTGCTGTCTATATGGGTCTGTGTTAATTTCTCTTAACAGTAGGAATGCGGGGAGGTTTTTTTGCTGGCCAGAGACCTTGAGATGAGGTTCTGAGAAGGGAGATTCTCGCATTTATGAGAGTTGTTGGCTTGTAAGCTGAGTGTGTGTGTGTGAAACTCCTGGAAGAGACCTAGTTTGTTTCAGGGAGTGATTTTTTTTATTTTATGATCATCATTTAAACAGTTCCAATGATGATCCACTTCTGTAATAAATTTTACTTGGTCATAATTTTTGGAAACGAGGGGTTTTTTCTTGTTCATCTCTCCACCACCCCCTCTCCCACCCTTTGTAGCTGTTTAGCTTTTTCAATATTTGTCCTGGTAATTTTGTATTATCCTGAAGGACGTTTTGTAAATGTGCTTTTGAGATGCTGTAGCATTTAAGCACTGAACAATACCATCTGTGAGGTACACTTAACCTTCGTTCATAACCTTGCCACTATTTATAATGTGCAAATACCATAATTGTAACCACACTCTTTTCATCTCTGACTGAATCGTTTTATTGGAATTATATTTTACGGGGTAATACATCGCAAAACCATCTGTGAAGTGAAAACCGACGCTTGGTTCAACGGTTGTTTTTACACTTCTCAGCCAAAACAGCACCCCTCATCACTGTTACATGACTCCCTGTTTTTCTGGCAATGCGCAACAACAAGAAAGCTGCCAGCGTCTGACCTCAGCGAAACGACATTTTAATTTGCTGCAGGTTTCGGCGTCGAAACTTTTTGATGCTGCCTGACGATCCCGTGAATTCGCGCCGATGATTATCCTCGCTTGTGCGCACCTGGCACCGCAGGTGTACATTCCGCTTTCCCAGCACCAATATCCGGCTGACATTCCGGAGCCTCTACGACGAGAGGAAGGAGGTGGCAGAGTTGACGCCGAGGCCACCCTCTCCCATGAAGCCGCTGCAGACCAACGTCTCACCACTGGCGATCAACATTCCGGATCCGGCCATGGACTTTGTGAGCCCCTTGCCATCTCCCACGGGCACCATCAGGTGAGCTGGATGCTGCTGTGCCCCTTCTTCTCCTGCACACCCGGTGATTGTTGCTGCGTTCCCATTGGCATGACAAAAATCAGATCGGATTTATGCCGTGCCATTCCTCCATCGGCCCGGCAACAGTTCGCGTTTTGATCCAACGTTTGGCTCAGTGGGTTTGGCCAATCTCCTCTGTGCCCTCCCCCCCAACACTGTGGTTCTCTCCCCCTTTCATTTTCTCAGCTTTCCTGCTTGACTTTGGCCTCAGGGGTGTAGCTTCAGTCTGAGGACTTCGCTTAGAGGCACCAGCCTTGATAGTGGCCTCAGCGCTGAGATTTTGGGCCTTGGCTGCCGTTGATACTGGCCTCGACATTGGCCTCGACATTGGTCTTGATCTAGAGGATCTGGCCTTGAATGGCCTTGGCAATGGTCTCATCCTCGAGGTTTGGGCCTTGACTGCCCTTGAAACTGACCTCGATATTAGCCTCAGCCTAGAGGATCTGACCTTGCCTTGCCTTGACACTGGCCTCGACTTTAAAGAATCCTGCTCGTGGCCTCAGCTTGGCCTTGTGGTTCCTGGCCTCAACCTTGGCCATGGTCTCATGGGCACCCACTTTTAAAACCAAGACTGGTGGACTGTGAGTGTCGGTGCCGTCTAGGTATAAGTTGAGCTTTACAGAAAATTGTTCCATCCTGTTTTTGTTCACCTCTTTATTTAATAAAAAAAAACCCATATATTGTTGTGGCGCATTGTGTAAAAAATATATATTAACATGCCCCCATTGTCTCTCCACATAAAAATAACACATTTTATTAGTCCAGTTAACCTACGGGTTTCTATACCAAATATTATCCAGTCGCAAAGTCTGGACTAATTCACAACCCAGCAGTATTTGTTTAACAAGTCTCATTGCTGATGAGACCCAAAAGGTCAAACACAGTCCAGAGTTTACTTGTTTAAATAAATACTGCTGCACAATATTAAACTGAAAACGAATATGACAAAGAATCATTGCAGATAAACCAAAAAATTATTGAATATTTCTTGTGTAGAGACTGGGCCATATTTGTTTATTTTTTCAGCATTTAATCAGTTTTAGTCACCATGCACATTCAATAATGACCCGAGGTTTATACATCTTGCTGGGATGTAGCAGTGGTGCAGTGGTATACGCACATCACCATGAATTTTGTGACCTATGTTCAATTCTCGGCTATGGCTAACATCAGTGGCAAGGGATATCTGAACTCGTCTAAGAAAAAATATTTCACCATCCAACACTGACCAGTTTGAAGTATGGTCAAACGGTCCCTGTGACGGCTGTGGGTTGTCCTTGCTGAGACATTGGCCCGAATCGAATGGTAGTGATTCCACATTCCCACGGTGGATGCCAAACACCCTACAGGACAACCACTCTCAATTTCTCACAATACGTTTCTCATTTTATGAATTATTAAGGTGATGACGACGATGAGGTGAGTCGGCCCACAACATTGATTTGAATTCGTGACCTTCCAATTGTTAAATGTTATAATGATGGTGCTACCTGGTCAGATGATTTATTATCTGCAGGTACCATGAATCTGTTATTGGAGCTATGCTAGAACAAAACTAAACTAACGCGAAATAAACTTTCATTTACCAGGACTATACTGGGTGGCACGGCGGCACAGTGGTAATATTTGTGCCTCAGTAAAAAAATATCTGGGTTTGATTCTAGGCTCGGGCACCTTTCTGTGGAGTTTGTATGTTCTCCCCCTGTTGTGAATGGGATTTCTTCGGGTTCTTTGGTTTACTTCCATAGATAAAAAAACACATACTATGTAACTGGTACTGGCCAAAACATCCCAATGCTAAACAAACTGCATGCAAATCACTCGGTGGGATTACACACTTCAAAATCACTCTCCGACTGCAAAAACTTGGCAGAACTTTCCTCAAAAAGTCTTGACTATGTGAGACTTTCCAGAATAAAAATGCTTCGGAATAATTATTGTAAACAAGACTCATTTTCAGGAGGATGTCCTATTTTTGAGCTGTTTGGCCAGTTTTGTTATAAGTACTTTCCACACTTGTTGGATAATAACCTACATGCCTGGAGAAAACTGCACTTTTTAAGGGAACAACACTTAGACTTGTCACATAAATTAGCAGCTTACACCAGTGAGACTTGAGTGTGTTACTGTGTATAGAGTAGGTCTCCAGATTTTCTGAACCAATTATTTCCAAATTGCATTAACTACTAATGAAATGGCACCGAACACAATCTCCGTTAGCTTGCCGTGGAGGCCTTGTTTATCTGTACAACTCAAATAATGTCACTAATGGGTTTATTGTGAGGGGGTGTCGGGGTGGAGGATTGGTTGAGTTTGATTTGTAGCCATGGCTAGCATCAGTGGTATGTGGACTTGAACTGAGCTTCTCCGTCTTCATGATGTTACTGCTGCTGATGATGGTAATCGGAATCTTAGTTTACGGATAAAATTAGTCATTTGCGTGGATGAATGCGGACAATAGGATGCTACAATAGTACCCCCCCAACATCTCTGCACTTCGCTGTGTTTTCAAGTTGAAAACATGTTTCAAACGTTCGCCAGTTATGGAGTTTGCACTGGCAGTTGACATTTCCGAGCGCGACATTTGACACAAATATGGGTACATTACAAAACCATTGGCCTTTGGGGTCAAGAGAGATGGTAAACACTGCTCATTCAGACTTTAAACGCCATGTCTCGTGGTTATTATCAAAGTCAAAAACATTTCAAAATAAAGGAAATTAGTAAATGTATCATAATCATCATAACGGTGTGTCGTGAGGTCCGTTTATTTTCAGAAACCTACTTTTTCTCCAGTTTTGTCTGTTTCGTTTACATTTTAAATCTGATTTGTTATTTGTTCTGTTTAGTGTGATGCTTGTTTAACTTTTGGACTTGCTTTGCTTCAGACTGAAATTGTTTTGCTGTACGGTACATTTGTGTTGACCTTGGGAAATCCGCCTTATTTTGACCTGCATTCTCTATCTCGCCTATCTGTTGAAGACGTTCATGAATAATCGGGTAATATTATCGGGCCCAGTGGCCCCGAGGCCTCTTTGTTAGGAATCCGCAGACATTTCACCACCACGATGGGTTCTGTAAACAACAAGACCGGAGTAGCGTTGCAAAGGTTGACGTATTTCTTTCAGATGACGCATGAATATGCCCAACAGGTAATCTCTTTGTTGTTTGAACGTCCCATGGTTACACAGCTTTCTAAGCCTTACGTGGTATATGCAGACGATGACCCTTGTTTTGTCTTCATGCCAAAAAAAACCCTCCCACAGGCTTAAATGTTGCTTGTTCACGTTGTCAGCCTGCCTGTAATCGTTACTGCTTTCTAAAATGCGGCGGTCCCATATGGTGTGTTGTTTCCCCAAAGTCTCACCGAACAGGGGAATAATAAAAAAATGGACTGCAATGGTAAGGTTATCTTTAAATGTATATGCAACCTTTGCGGTTGCTTATATTTCCCTGTCATTCCCAGAACCAGCAGTTTCAGTTTTTCAGTTTTATTTATTTGGTATAGCCCTGTGAGCCATTCGGCTCTTGAATCGGGTGCAACCGCAACAAAAAAAAAACAAAAACATGAACAAGAAAACATCTTAAAGTGACTATGTGACTGTGCAAACAGAAAATCCAGGAAAAAACAGCAAAATATTCCTGAAAAAAGCACCGTACACCAACGCTGTGTGCAAAAATCCCAGTGGGATGCAAGTCAAACAACAACAACAACAACCACAAGACAACTTACATTAAGGCCATCAGTCTAACTCCGTACTACAACAAACAAACATGGCCAAACCAAAAAACTTTTCGACATTACCAAAATAAAGCCATAAAAGCAATGTAACAGTGATCTTCGGAACTGTGACCGAATTTTCACAATTAAACGACATAAACAACATGTAACATCAAACCCTAGAGCCATAGCTAGCTGCATGAGTCACTCCACAACAACAGGAGCATCAGTCGGAGTATCAGAAGTATGTTCTTGGTATTGTTGAGGTTAAGTGTAATGGAGTGCACCATAGTGCCGAGGTTTTATATGGCTCCTGGCTGTAGGGTGGGTCATATTTGTAGGAATGTATAAAGATGTTGTGCCCACTGCCATGATTGAATTGGTTGATGTGCTTCAGGACATCTTATTTTTTTAAACATGAGTGAATGTAGCGACCTCTAGCGGCTGGTGAAATCGCATCAAACACATTGCGAGTAACATTTACTTACCACAATCTTGTCGGCAAAACAGTAAAACCCACGGAACATTCTCATACCTGTCAACTCATATGGTTTATCGGTATTTTTGTACAGGGAAATTGAGTTTTCAGGTCCAAACGGCATACAGCCGTTTCAATACGGGCAAATAAAATGTCTATTTGTTTGTGCTTCTCCTTTGTGATGGGACTTTGTAGGATGAACGTTGAGATTTATAAGGGCACGGGGTGACCAATACGGTCTGAATTGGTCTGTAATAAGGTAGGCACTGATAAGGGGTTGACACGTATGTATTCTACTTCTTAAACCCTATTCTTTCGTGAAAAAAAAGTTAATGCATATTTGTAGCCGTATTGTTTTCTATACCCGTAAAAATGAATTGTTTAACTATGACATGGCCAACCCATATGGACCAGCGTGACGGATCATGGTCAAATTATATCCACTACGATTCGCACAGCGTAAGGGAGGCCCTCATCCAACAAGTACATGAATTCGCTTGATTCTAAATTCGAAATACACTACAAATACATCCATCCAATCGCAGACTTTTTTTTAGGATGTTTCTGTTTCTCACACATGAAAATAATGTGTGTAAATCGCAGCATGTTCCTCTGTCTGCATCTCACGAAGCTCACGTGCGGCCTGCTCGTGTGTGTTTTTTTTTTCCCGGCGGCCATAGACGGCCGCCACTCTAAAACTGAACGTCTGTGGAGAAAAGAGCTTCATAGCTCCTCGGATTCCTCGAGTATGAACAAATATTCTGAAACGGGGCTTCACCACGAGCATGCTAAAGCCCGGTGTTTCTCTCTCCCAGCGCCGCCAGCTCGTGCCCATCAAGCCCGCGAGGCGCCGGTTCCTCGGGCTACCGGCTGGGACGCGGCGCCGCACCGGACCTGCAGCTCGTGGCCGAGTACGCGGCACAGGCGGCCTGCGATCAGGAGAAGGACGCTACGTCGGAAGGCGACGGTCCCAAGGCAAGGGAGGCCGCCGCTGTGTGGAGGCGTTAAAGCCGTGGACGTGCCGGCACTATTGTTGTCGGCGCAGATTTTACGTGCTGTGTTCTGTCGTAAATATAAAAAAAACACATGCAGTTGAACAATGATTAGTGTTACCCCCTCCCCCCCCTAATGGACAGCGATTACAGACGAGAGGTCACATGACAACCTGAGATTGTGTGCTCGGCAGACCAATCGTCCAATAATTGCTGTTTTCATTGGATACTGTCATTGCTGTTGCAAGTTACCATAGTTACTGGTAGTAAACACATTAACAGTGCACAAATATTATGAATACAGTTGAGTTTACTGTCGTTTCTTCCGTTCGTTAGCTCAGGCGTATATCTAGTACATGGATATTAAGTTATGATTTAGGGCAATGGATTTCTTGCTGCTGTTGTGTAACATTAGCTCAGTGCACAGCAATGTGCATTTCAAGCACCTCGATTGTAGGTGTAAGTTGACAGCTGGTTTGAAGTGTTGGCTGTGGTGTATGTGTGTGTGTTGGCAGGATGAGTCGAAGCCACCCTACTCCTATGCCCAGCTAATCGTGCAGGCCATCACATCTGCCCTTGACAAGCAGCTGACACTCAGTGGCATCTACGCTCACATCACCAAGCACTACCCCTACTACCGGACCGCAGACAAAGGGTGGCAGGTACTGTCTCATACCGACACGGGAATCGGATCAGAACAAGTATTGTCATGTGCGCATGCACGTGTGTGTATTATGGTCGACTCAGCCTTAAATGAGCTAGCTGATGCTGTGTATACATCAGCACTGCAGAGATAAAGCTGGCAGAGTGTGGTACCAGCCACACACCCCATTAAAATCCTGCTAATGGCACGTACCCCAACAGCTAGTGTAGGCTATATATTGGCTCTTTCTATGTGTATGTGGGGAGCAGTGGTGCAGCGGCTAGCACACTGCTACGAACAAGGCAACAAGAGTTTAAATTTAGGGCCATGGCTCACATCATTGGAGAGTGATATCTGAACCAGTTATATTTTATTGGCCTCCCCTCGATCGATTCGGCCTAAAAATTAGTGCTGTGCAAATGTTAGCACTCGGGAGACAAAGGTGGTCGGGCGTAGTGCTGACTCCACTACCCCCTTATGCACTGTTTTAGCCTGAATAGGTGATTGGTAGCAGGACGTCCACCAATAGTCTGTTAACGGCTACATGGGGGATCTTTGTTTTTGTGCGTGATATGCACAGGTGCGGGCGCGGTGGCTCAGAGGTTCACGCCCTGTGCTACGAACCCAGTGGCGAGCCACGGTGGCGAGATGTTAACTACCTCGCCTGGTATACTGGTGGTTGTGGGTTTGATCCTGACCCTGACACCTGTATATTTGGAGTTCGAATGTTCTCACTGTGGTTGAGTGGATTTTTCTCCAGGTTCTCTGGTTTTTCCCTCCAAATTTAGAATCAACATGCATTTATAATATTTGGCTGCTATAAATTTCCACGCGATAAGCCACTTCGTTGAGCTATCATTTGTGGCCAGGTCGCTTCTGAAAAAGGGCTATATAGCTCAGGCGGCCTTACCTGGTAAAATAAAAAAATATTTATTGTCTTCAATTCAATTCCTGTTCGGAAACAATGCTAACCTGGCATATCACTGGGCACGTTACACCCGATGCACTGGGTAGTTTTTAATAGGGGCTTTATAACGGCATTTTCCACAGTAATCTGCATGGCTATGTGATGGATTGTTGCTTATACGTGTATGTGGTGAGCGATGGTTAAAAGCATAAACTCAGCTGTATTTAGGCCACATTTCTCCTTCATGAATCTGTTAGAACATCATTACAATTTATACTTTCTGTACACGGTTTTTTTTTTATCGCAAAAGCTCCATCCTCTCCTGCTTTCAACTGCCTTCCACTAAACCAACCGATGTGACCTTGCAGGTCTTCACACACGGCTCTCTGGCTACGAGAGCAGCTGGAGGAGCCATCGTGTTTGAATTATTAAACGCAATGATGTTCGTTCTGATGTCTCGTGTCGGTCGCCCCAACGCGTGGCTGCTGTCCTGTTTGACAGCTACACAAACAACGGGGCCCCCTTTTAATACCCTGGGTTTGTTCTTGGCTCGTTTGATGCCCAGGATCAGGACTTGGCTCAATGTTGGTAAATAATTTGATCAGAATTTCGAGGAATTTTGTTGACATTCTTTAAATGTTAAAGCACACGATTTTAGCGAGTTTTATTAAGTCGTGCAAAGAACAAGTTAAAATGTTTTTGGAAGATGAAACTATGTTTTATGTCTGCATCTGTGGAAAGGCCTTACGTTACACATTAGTTTTGTAAAGATAATGTTATCAGAATGTTAATTTCATTTTCTATTAGTAGCTTACTATAAAGTTAATATTCTTTGGGTCTTTCGGTAAAGCTACGTAGAAAGAAAAAAATAATATTATTTATCTATCTGCGTGGCTTTACCGAAAGACCCAAAGAATATGAATTCCTGCAGTCACGAAAGCTTTAAGTCAAGATACAAAGTTAATGTCACTACGTAAGCTTTATATTCTTAGTTAAATATATATTTTATTATTTTATTGTTTCCCTTCAACGTGACTTTACCGAAAAAACTAAGAATATGAATTACTGCAGTCACGAAAGCTTTAAATCAAAATTTTACGTAAGCTTTAATTTACTATAGGGAATGGTGGTGGTGTAGCGGTTAGCGTGCTGCGCTACGAACCCGACGACCCGAGTTCGATTCCCGCTCACGGCCAACACCAGTGATAGCGATTATCTAAACCGGTCCTGGCCCTCCCCCTAGGTCGACTCAGCCTCAAATGAGTACCTGGTGCAGTGTGTAAACATCGCTACTGGGGAGACAAAGGCGGCTGGGCATGGTGTTGGCCACCCACCCCATCATGCGCCGTGCCAGCCTTCGTAGGTGCTCGCTAAGAGCACTTGCCCAACAGTCTGTTAAGGCTATACGGGGATCTTTTTTGTTCATTTACTTGTTAATGTAAGGTGTAAAAAAAATCCATCGAACAGCATACGTGATAATAGATTAATTGTTCGTTCAGCGCTTGAGGATGTTGTATGTCAGAAGTAAAAATTGGTGCTGAAAGCAAAGCCGTAATTATAATATGTATTGGGGGGGGGACACATCTACCCCAATATTCAAATACTGTATGCTCAAAATGTCCCCCCCAATATTTTGCTATAAAAAAATGAATTGCTATGCCCTGTAAATAAAAATAACAATTTGCTAAACCTTGGCCACAATATCTGGACTTGTCTTCATATAAATCAATGCATAGATTTCTGTTTATATGATTGTGGTTATGGTTGTATTTTATTAATCCCTAATCTCTGCCATTACCTACAATGAAACAAGAAATGGTAAAAAAAGTAAAAACAGAGCAATGTAATACAATACACTATTAGACATTGTAAAAAAAAAAGTCCATCCCATATGTTAGTGAATTTTAAAATATTTTAGGCAGGGAATGTTTTTCTGGGTTGGGACCCCCAGACACCCTGGAAGATTTGGTCCCCCCCAACGTTGACTCCATGGCTACGGCCTTGGCTGAAAGGAATGGAGTTGTGTAGCAACATCTCTCCCCCCCACTGGGATCAGCAGAGCAATTAGTTGCGCGTTGTTAAGCACTGCCAGTACGAGCCCACTGGTCTCTCTTGTCGCAATCGTACGATTCAACAATGTTGCTTTAATCGCTGCAATCCACTGTATGCAACACATATAGTGGACTCTAACAAATCATGTCAGGTGCATTATTGTCTACTTTTTAAGTATTTAGAAGTGACATGGGTAAGGTTGTTCAGTCTACCTATTGTTAGCTGTTTTGGTAAATTATGTTAATTGACCATTGGCTTCAACCGGGGTTCAACCAGGGGTTCAAGCCAATAATGTCACGGCTGTCGGATTGTGAGAGATCCACTCATAATCATATGTCGAGGAGGAAGAATCTGCGTAACCCATCGTCCCTCCAGGGTCATTTAAACGAGCACCTCTTTTTGTTGCAAGTTAAACATTCCATCATTTGAGCTTCAGAATCACTATTAATTGATCAATATTTAATAATCGTTGGTGATGGGCCCCACGTGCCCCTGGGGGCCCCGGGCTGTGCATTAATTTTTGCTCCCTGCAAGGTGTTGCTGCCCTTCCCGTTCACAATCTTCCTTAATGTAGTCCCTCGCTTATTGTCTTGAGATGCTGTGTCATAGAAATGTTTTTTTTTTAGCACTTTGCGAAAGACGTTCAACGTACTTGCATACAGTGAGGGAAAAAAAGTATTTTATCCCTTGCTGATTTTGTACGTTTGCCCATTGACAAAGAAATGATCAGTCTATAATTTTAATGGTAGGTTTATTTGAACAGTGAGAGACAGAATAATAACAACAAAATACAGAAAAACGCATGTCAAAAATGTTATAAATTGATTTCCATTTTAATGAGGGAAATGAGTATTTGACCCCCTCTCAATCATAAAGATTTCTGGCTCCCAGGTGTCTTTTATACAGGTAACGAGCTGAGATTAGGAGCACACTCTTAAAGGGAGTGCTCCTAATCTCAGCTTGTTACCTGTATAACAGCCACCTGTCCACAGAAGCAATCAATCAATCAGATTCCAAACTCTCCACCATGGCCAAGACCAAAGAGCTCTCCAAGGATGTCAGGGACATGATTGTAGACCTACACAAGGATGGATTGGGCTACAAGACCATTGCCAAGCAGCTTGGTGAGAAGGTGACAACAGTTGGTGCGATTATTCGCAAATGGAAGAAACACAAAATAACTATCAGTCTCCCTCGGCCTGGGGCTCCATGCAAGATCTCACCTCGTGGAGTTGCAATGATCATGAGAACGGTGAGGAATCAGCCCAGAACTACACGGGAGGATCTTGTCAATGATCTCAAGGCAGCTGGGACCATAGTCACCAAGAAAACAATTGGTAACACTACACCGTGAAGGACTGAAATCCTGCAGCGCCCACAAGGTCCCCCTGCTCAAGAAAGCACATATACATGCCCGTCTGAAGTTTGCCAATGAACAGCTGAATGATTCAGAGGACAACTGGGTGAAAGTGTTGTGGTCAGATGAGACCAAAATGGAGCTCTTTGGCATCAACTCAACTCGCCGTGTTTGAAGGAGAAGGAATGCTGCCTATGACCCCAAGAACACCATCCCCACCGTCAAACATGGAGGTGGAAACATTATGCTTTTGGGGTGTTTTTCTGCTAAGGGGACAGGACAACTTAACCGCATCAAAGGGATGATGGACAGGGCCATGTACCGTCAAATCTTGGGTGAGAACCTCCTTCCCTCAGCCAGGGCATTGAAAATGGGTCGTGGATGGGTATTCCAGCATGACATTGACCCAAAACACACGGCCAAATCAGCAAAGGAGTGGCTCAAGAAGAAGCACATTAAGGTCCTGGAGTGGCCTAGCTAGTCTCCAGACCTTAATCCCATAGAAAATCTGCGGAGGGAGCTGAAGGTTCGAGTTGCCAAACGTCAGCCTCGAAACCTTAATGACTTGGAGATCTGCAAAGAGGAGTGGGACAAAATCCCTCCTGAGATGTGTGCAAATCTGGTGGCCAACTACAAGAAACGTCTGACCTCTGTAATTGCCAACAAGGGTTTTGCCAGCAAGTACTGAGTCATGTTTTGCAGAGGGGTCAAATACTTATTTCCCTCATTAAAATGCAAATCAATTTATAACATTTTTGAAATGCGTTTTTCTGTATTTTTTTGGTTTTAATTCTGTCTCTCACTGTTCAAATAAACCTACCATTAAAATTATAGACTGATCATTTCTTTGTCAGTGGGCAAACGTACAAAATCAGCAGGGGATCAAATACTTTTTTCCCTCACTGTTTCATAATCAATTAATCGATGCATCGCCAAACCCGCCACCACCGCTGCTGACGTTGTGTTGCAATTGGAGCATCACTCGGGTTGCCACTGCCCTCGTTTTCACAGGATCGTAATTTTTTGACCCAGCTGCTGTCCAGGGAAATTTGTAATTCTACCCAGTACATTTAAAGTTCAGCTTTTTTCGCCAGTTGCATACGACTATAACAGTACACCATTCAATTCAATGCATTTAATGCAGTTCTCATCTCATCCGGCGTATTGGGATATATTATTCCTCCCGGGATATTTATCACCTTCCAAGGTGCACGCAGGCCGGGGTGAGGACAGGGATGCGGGGGAGGGGGGTGGTCGGTGGGGGGGGGGGGGCACTCGATGCAGCGTTCCCTTCCACTTCCCCTTCTGAAGTCTTTAAACACTCCGTGACAGTCTCAATAAGGGCAGGCGCTGTGCCGTGAGCGTGACCTGTAAGATATGCTGCTGTGCGGGCCGGAGGGCAGGCGGACGGCTGTAGCGGTTGCGAGGCCTGTAGCGCAGCACAGGCCAAGATTGACGACCGCTCCGTGGCTACGCGAATGAGCGTGAAATCGTGACGGGCCTGGTAAGAATTATAGCGCTCGCCTTTGCGTGCGATTAACGTCTCGTGAGGTGGCTGAGAGCTACCTCTCCGGCATGAAACTGGTAAATTAAACTGGAGGCTTTTTAGAATCTGCGATGATGCTCATTTGATTATTATACTATTTACTTGTATTTGAACTATCCCAAGGGTACCGTATGCCACGGAGATGGAGCGATGAAATAAGCTCGTTTGCAGGTGCTACGTGGATTGTTGCATCGCAGAACTCAGAGATTGCGGCAACTTTGGGAGTCCTTTATCCAGCAGTGAATTGAGTGCCTGCTGCTGATGATAATTGTATATAATGTACAGTGCTACTCCTATGGTAACACCTAAATGTGTCGCAGTATTTCAATTGAGGATAGGGCAGTACGCAACTTGGTTCGTGGTCTTAGCCAGTATTGGAAATAATATCTATCTATGGCAGAGAGGCCAGCATCGCCATGGATGAATGAAAGCTGGCTTTCTATCTCGCGATGATTATTTAATTGACACCGGATGGATCGGGATCACGATAATAATCATTGGCTGCAGCTTAACTGAAGATCTTAACTGGTAAAGTTTACTTAATTAACACTCTGAATGGCAGTGCAAGCATTTCTTGTGCTTTGCCTATTCCGGTTGCGGAGAGCTGCAAATGACGCGTGTGTTTGTGTGCACCCGTCTGGTTGCCTCGTGGTCAACACAGTGTGCCACAAATCCTTCAACGTGCCTTCGATTCCTGGCCATGGCTGACATCGGTGAAAATGATCTCAGTCGGTCCTGAGTACCTGGTGCGGTGTGCAAACATCATTAATGGGGAGACAAAGGCAGCCGTGCGCGGTGGTGGTGGTGGTGGTGGCGGCGGCCACAACCCCGCCACGTCTGCCGTGCTGACCTTCATGGGTGTTCGCTTTCAGAACTTGCCTCTGCAGTGTGTTGGGTGCCACAGTGGCGAGATGTTAACTACGTCGCCTGGTATACAGGCGGTTGTGGGTTCGATCCCGACCCTGACGCCTGTATATTTGGAGTTTGCATCTTCTCCCCGTGGTCGAGTGGATTTTTCTCCAGGTTCTCCGTTTTTTTCCCCCAAATTTAGAGTCGGCATGTGTTGAGAATAATTGGGCTGCTATGCATTTTTACATGATACGCCACTTTGTTGAGCTATCATTTGTGGTCAGGTCGCTTCTGAAAAAAGAACTACATTGTCCAGTGGGCCTTACCTGGTCAAATAAAACAAAAAATTGTTTAGGCTACAAGAGGGATCTTTTGTCTTTGTTCCCACAGAACTCGATCCGGCACAACCTGTCGCTGAACCGCTACTTTGTGAAGGTGCCGCGCTCGCAGGAGGAGCCGGGCAAGGGCTCCTTCTGGCGCATCGACCCCCCATCGGAAGGCAAGCTCGCTGAGCAGGCCTTTCGCAAGCGGCGACAGCGCGGCGTGCCCTGCTTTCGCACGCCCTTCGGGCCCCTCTCCTCCAGGTCGGCCTCTTGCTTTCATCATCATTCATCACGCATATTCAGCGAAGGACCGTTGCGCCAGACGTGTGACCTCTCGTGACAGCATTCGCTTAAGCTGCCGTTGCTGTCATACAATGTTGTCTCGAGTGATTTGTTTGATCCACGGATCACGGTGAGGCGGGGGGGCGACCATGGGGGCGGCGCCATTTCTTTGAGGGTCGCAGTCCACTTCGAACGCCAACTGAAGTGCGCAATTTTCTGGAATTTGCGCATCATCATAATACTGATTATCTTATATTATAAGGGTGGTCAGTCCGCGGCCTGTGAGCCGTATGCAACTTCCCGGTTGTTACAAGTGCAGCTCGATGTATATTTGGTGACCATTTTTATTTTTAATGCGACTTTATTTGAAACACGAAAAATCTGCGGAAGCTGGAACCTCCTATGGCACTCGCCCCCGGGCAGTGGAGCCAGACACGAGTACACTCGGGGTGCTCCCGCAGATTTCTATATTCAAAAAACTCTATGGCCAACGAGTGCGAACCGACGGAGCGACCACCCCATCAGTGTCTTGTGGCTGTCGGCCATATGGAGATTTTGGTGACTCCTTAGGTCAGAAGGTTTAGGCACCCCTGTTATACTACATTTGTCATTGTCGTCATCATGCACTTGCCAACCCTACCAATTTAAGTGATAATTGAGCGGATTATTCAACCCTTTTACCGCATGCTAATTTTCAAAGTGAGTCTTAACCACTTGATAAAATATTTTTCAAAATTATGCTGTGAAAGGGTTTACAATTGGCAAGCCTACCACTTACATTGATAGCTTTGGCAAGTATATTGATTAATCCATGGTCATCTCTGAGGATGATGAAGATGATGATGAATATATTATAATTTTAATCTTCATCATCAGTCGTAATCAATCTTTGATTAACAATAATTTAAATCATTTATAGCCCTTGTCCCAACTGTGGGATGAAGGCCTCCCCTTGCTGTGTACGTCAAGGGGATTGTTTGACGCTTCCCGATGCTGGTCAGTGCAGATCGACCCCAAAACAAGTTCAGAAATCACTTAAAACTGATGTTGCCCGTCACTGAGAATTGAACTCAGGTCTTCAGGTTCAGAGTGCAATACGTGACTGCTCCATTTTGCTACGCTACATTAGTTCTCTATCAATGCCACTGGTTGGTGCTGGAGCTAATAATAGTACCGCTTTGTGGGACGTCAACATTGATTGTTCCCTCGGAGAGACTGGCGTCCACCATGGGAATGTGGACTTTCCAGCACTGGTACAGGGCCACCGAGAGAATTGAGCGCCCACCCGATGCTCATTTGAGCGGGCAAATACTCGATCTTGACTCCGCTGAGTGTTGTTTTTTTTGTACATGTGCTTTGCAGTATAATTAAATACAATTTCACCGATTTCCTGTACTCAAATCAGCTTTGAGTGGGATTCGTTTTCATAAGCGGCTCGCTGAGCCAGTGGTGGAAATTCCACATTCCTTTGTCAGAGCGCTTTCTCTCCATAGCCACTGCCACTGTTAACTTCCCACTAAACGGTTCCCATTTTGTTGACCCTGGCAGGGGTAATGGGCTGAGTGGACCCTCGATAATGATTTTAAATTGAAATTCTTCCAAAAATTGACACTACCTAACCACAGCACAACTTGGCCAGCCACTGTACAGTTTGGTGCCACAATTGTGTGCATTTTCTGCTGTGATGTTACAGCTGTGTTTAATTCAAATGTATGTTCCTTCTTATTTGCACCACTGATGTATCCACACAGGACCGAGTAAGTGTTTTAATTCACTCTTCAACATTTATTTTCAGACACCTACTAATTTACACGGAAATGATCAATTATCGTGGGGAATTTCAGTGTTTATGACTTAATGTGCTCTTAAAATTACTCATCAGTTTGTTATATAAGTAGTGGAAGTGTGTCATGCTCAAATGAGCATTTACCAGGGCTCACATCTTTGTGGTCCTAAACAGGTGGTGGAAATTCTAAAGTACAATGGCAGAGCCATTTTTAGCTCGGTTAAATTTATTTAGATTAACCTGGTGAGAGTTTAAAAGTCCAGGATATGGTCTCATTTTCTAGAGTGAGCTGGGTCACCAGTTTATCCATAGATCAATCGCTGTGTAGTAGGGGTGTAATGATGCATCGATTTATCAATTGATATTGATTCCTAAACTCACGACACACACAAGTAATCTCGTGCGTAAGAATCAATGTTGTTTTATACGTATAATGTTTGCATGCCATGGGTTCACGTGACCCATTGTAGCAACGAGAGGTGCAACATTCATCATGGTGCAAAGTTTAATAATGCGGGAGTCATTCTCTCCCCTGTTTATTTTAAAACACGTGCAGCTTAATTTTTATTCCACTCATGGGCGGTGTAGTAAGTGGTCTATATTTAACCAGGCAAGAACCCATTGAGACTGCAGGTGTCTTTTGCAAGGGTGACCTTGGTCAAAAAGGGACAACGGAAAAAAAGTTTACGTAGTGGGAATACGTTAACATGCCCAGAGCTAATTAGAATTGGTGAAATTAGGGGGATGAGGTTTACATGACCTCAGGACTGCGATGATAGTAATGTCTGAATGGCAGCTCTGATTTCTAAGTAAATGCTTGATTGCTGGTGTATGCCAGCACACCTGGCGAAGAGTCAAACAATGAAATGATTAAGCATCAACGATTACTACAGCCAGTAATGGTTGGTGAAAGTCCAGAGCATAGACGTGGCAGCATTGATTTTACAACACTGTCTTCCGCTTAAAACGTATTGCCTTTGCAAACAATTTTCCATCGGATAAACGACACTTATTTGAACAAAAAAAGTTAATTGAAACACCAGTAATTTCCCTGGCTTCCACCTGTGCACTTTATTTAGGCAGAGTCGTGAGACTGTGACCTTGTCAATGGAGTTGAGTGCACTCCAGGTTTCGCAGGCCACGGGGGAGCTCATCAGGATTTTGTCATGGGTGTCCATAATCTTTTAAGTTTTTTTTTGTTTAAGTTGCGGTCGCTGCAGTTAATATAGGTGTATGGTGCAATAATTGTGGAAAGCTTGAAGATGTAAACATGTTGTTTCCTTCAATGGGTCCCTGTCTACATGAATCATTAACGTAGGGATTTTAAAACTCCATATTTCACAACCAACACAGTCATATATTTACTCGATAAACATATGACTGTGGTGGCAGGTCAAGAGCAGACGAAAAAACAACCAGACACTCGTTCGACATTTACCAGCCCCTCTCCGTTCAATGAAAATTAAGTTTCGATTTAAAGCTTTCGTGACTGCAGGGATTTATATTCTTGGTTCTTTCGGTAAAGTCACGTAGAAGGGAAATAATAAAATATACAGATTGTGTTGCAATCGAAACGTCGTGAGTATTTAATTGTTTTAGCTTTATTATTTTATTATTTCCCTTCTACGTGACTTTACCGAAAGAACCAAGAATATGAAAATTAAGTAATTTAAATGCTGCACACACCTGATGATTGCTCGACATGTCTCATGTCCTGTAGCGAGCGCTGATTCAAATTAAGATTGATGATTTTAAAGCGGATCATAATTTGAATCTACACTTTTGACTTAACGTAGGGCACAAAGACAAAGATCCCACCTATATAATCGTAACAGACTGTTGGGGTAGGTGCTGTTAGTGAACACCTATGAAGGCCAACATTGCACAAGAGGGAGTGCCTGGCCAGCAACGTGCCTGGCCGCCTTTGCCTCTCCAGTGCTGATGTTTAGATACCTCATTAGGTACTAATTTAATTCCGGTTCAACCTCGAGGAGCCTCAGGACTGGTTCAATTCAAATATTCGTCACCGATGTTGGCTGTAAGTGGGAATCAAACTCATGTCGCCAGGTTCAAAGTGCAGTACTTTAACCACTACACTCCCGCTCTCCATAACGTGGGACACAAGATCTACACGTTAATATGAATCGGTCCACACTACGTCAGTTGGGAAATATCTATGATCATCAGGCGCACACAGCACACAATGTCATCACAACTTAATTTGTATTTGAAAAGAGAAGATAAGGTGGGCCGTGGTGGGTCACCGCAACTTGAGTTTGGGGTGCTACGGTGGCGAGATGTTAACTACCTCGCTTGGTTTGATCCTACTGACTCCTGTATATGTGGCGTTTGCGTGTTCTCCCCATGGTCGCATGGATTTTTCTCTGGGTTCTCCGGTATTTCGCTCCAATTAGAAACGTGTTTAGGGTTTGGGAAACCCTACATTGACCTGTTGCACCTGACTGACAACACCAGGGGGCACTGGAGGGATATAGGGTGGCGCATTAAAACAAAAAGAAAGTGGACATAACAGACTTTTCTCCGATCCGTAAAACTTCTAACTCATTTTCATACAGCTCAATACACATGGCCCTACAATTGGCTCTACAAGACAATGCCCAGCTGTTTTCACTGTGTTGCGTTTTACAAACCATTAAGTCGCTGTTTGCATTGATTACACTTCCTTCCTTGATTGAAGACTCGACGTCAAAGAAGCAACTGACTGATATGTACAACACATACTCATCAGTGGCAATGCTACAGTTGAAGTCGACCGAAATAAAATAAAAAAAACCTGCCAATTCACCTCTCGAATCCTGACTTGTGGTTCTACAACCGTGTTAGTCATGAGCTGTTCATCGTGCATCGCACGTCATGACATAGCCGAGATAATGCGTCGGTATTAAATTGACTTGAATATACTTTTGTTGGTCCACACATTAACACGTACCTCAGTCACTCGTCACTGAAAGGGCTTCTTGTATTGACAGAAGTGACCTCCTTGAATACATTTCTCTGTAAGTGTCCTGGTTAGTGCGGCTAAGATACTTGCAGCGACGGATACATTTCCTTTGTGGGCCATTTGCAAGTGGTAGCTCTCGGTTGCCCACGGGCTGTAGGAAATTAAGTCACAGGCTGTAGGTTCCCATACCGCTGCTCTACAGTATTTTGCCATCACCGGATGCAGTTGGCATCATACCGAGGACGAACAGCCTAGGTGTGCATATACAAACACAAAGAGGCTGTGTTGACCCCTGCGTTAACGTCTGCTGTGTGTCGCGCCTGACCATGTCTCAGGAGCGCGCCACCCTCGCCCACACAGGGGGTGCTGCTATCGCAGCCGTCGAGTGGCGTGCAGACCCCCGACAGCCTGTCCCGCGAGGGCTCGCCGGTGCCCACGGGGCCCGGTGAGAACGACGGCCCTGCGCCCACGAACACCGCTGCCGCCGCCGCCGCCGCTGCCGCCACCGCCACCGCCGACCCTTCCAGGCTCCCGTCTCTCCCAGAGTCGCGGTGCTCGCAAAGTGCGCCTGGTAAAGCAAAGTCGCTTGCGCTAATTTTCCGCCACTATCACCGCCAGAACCACCACTGCTACCACCACCAGCACCAAAACTCGTACCATCGCCACAACCACCACTATCGCCACCAGCACTCCTACGACCACTGCTGTCACGACCACCACCAACACCACAACTACGACCGCCGCTGCCACCACCGCCACTGGAATCCGACCCTGCCTCCACTGCCTTCATTATCACGCTATCTTCAGTATCATACGAGTAATCGTCAACAATAATAAGATTAGTTTAACACACAGGCTTATGAATAATAATGATTTATTACCCTTTGTCAAATGGCTGCTGGGCGAAGGGTTTCCCTATGCTGTCGATCGTGGGCGGAATAGGCTGCGTGGCCTCCTGCATGTTCCGTGGTCAGGAACTGGACTGTGCTGCGCGACACTCGCTTGAGTATGCCCTTTGGTTCTTTCGGAAAAGTCACGTAGGTCGAAAAAATAAATCACAAAGTTTTGATCGCCACACACGCAATCGTCTTCGTTTTGATCGCCACACCAGCAATCGAAGACGATCGCTTGTGTGGCGATCGAAACGTCGTGATCCAGTAATTTTTATACCTACGTGACTTTACCGAAACAACCAAAGAGTATGGATTCCTGTAGTCACGAAAGCTTCAAATCAAGATTGATTCGCTTGAGTGTTGAGACATGCTGTCTTTGGTTTATAGTGGCATAATATATTTTTTTGAAACATTTTTTTAATCATTTATGAGAGTATATGATGATGATAGAATGATGACAAAAATATCCTTTGTATATTAACACTACTCCTATTTGCACATTATATGCTGGGTCAAACGCCAGAAGTGTTCAAAACGGCGTATTTAATCTCCCCCCCCCCTCCTGATGAGATAATGCTGTTTGCCTTCTCTTGTGCATTCGCCCCACGAGGGCCATTTCCCACTTTCACCTCCTTGCTTCAGAACGAAACTAATTTGATTAGTCCTGGATAATTTGTGAGTTTCATCAACCCCCCCCCCCCCCCCCGTGGAAGGATGTGAACTTGAAACCTTTTCAAATTAACGAGTTGAGCGGATTATGTAATATGTTCGCTCGTAAAAAAAAGTTGAAAGTCGGCCAAGAGATGACCTTGACGTTTGTTGCAATATGCGTCTGTGTGGTATTTTTCATTGGCGATGTCCTCTGGATACCGCATTTATCCACGGGTTAATATCACATTACAGCAACGCAAGGCCAATTACGGAGAATATTTTCTTACAGTTGTTGCTGTTGCGTAGCTTTACATTTTAACAGACTCCAACTTAATTGCATACTGAGAGCTTTGCTGAGAATATTGTCGATAAAATATGGACATATGTATTCTTGTGCATGTACATGTACAGTTTGTCAGTCCACTGCTGGATGAGCACCTCGCCACGCCAGATGGCTCATCGGGGTTATTTCAACCATACTGCATGTGAAAATAGGTTTTACCCTTTTAACTGGCACAAAAACTGACACCTTTATTCAAGGCATCATGTTTGCAATAACCACAACACAAGCAGTCAAAATGCAAACAAAAAAGACAACTCACATACTGCATGTGTTCTTATAATATTAATCAAATGAAAGATTGCTCACTAAAAACCCCTACGCATATCAACAAGCCATTTGTGCCAACTATACTCATTTGCATTAACGTTGGATATGCTCTGCAACGGAACAAAACCAACACACTGAAAAATACGCACAGAAGCATCTTGGAATTACCGTACATTTAGGGGACGAAAATAGAAACACGTCACTTAGTGAACATACGCAGGTTAAGTACATCGCTAAAACTACAGTATTATGAAAACCAAGTGGGCTGGCTGGAACGAGTCGCGGGCAGGGATGACGGTCAATGGTCGAAAATAACAATGCAGTAGCAGCCAAAAAATTGTACGTTCGCAAGAGGACGTCCACCAAGGAGATTAAGCGATGAAATCGGATCTTGTGCAGGTGTCCCAAGTGAATTCACTCCAGTGCTGTCCTCGAGACAGCCTGATCCCTTCACCTGATGAAGGCCGCTTGTGTTGTGGCCGAAACGTCATGATTTTTGTTGTTTTATTTTTTACCTACGTGACTTTACCGAATAGAACCAAAGAGTATGAATTATTAAGATCGCAGCATCATGAGAGATAGCGTCGGCTTGAGGAGGCCTCCATCTAGCAGTGGATTGAAATGGGCTGATGAAGAAGGACAACAACGATGATGATGCGGCGCTACAACTTAACCCTTCAATTGTTGTTTATGAGCCATTAACAAGCAGTTTTTAGACCACGTTTCTGGTTGTACAAACGGCCAGACACAGCAGTGTGTGGGGGTACTGATGCAGCGAGTCTGGCAGACAAACAAAAGCACACACTGACCACCAGTCCAGTGTGAATTGTGTTGGTCTGGGTGATAATGGGAGGGTGAGCATCGCTCCCACCCCCCCCCTAAGCCATTCAAATGTGCCCACATTATCGCTAATGAGATGCTGTCAATACCGCATACGTGTGTAGCTTCCAGAGTGCGGTGCAACAGGAGCAGAGCCCCCCAGTGCGATGGTATGTAATTAAATGTCCCCTTAGGCAGAATGGAACATGAGCCATATAACGTAGGTGTGTGTGTGTGTTAGTGGGGAGCGGCAATTTAGCGGCTAGCGTGCCACTACAAACCCGGCGACCTGAGTTAGATTCCCGCTCGTGACCAACATCAGTGACTATTATCTGAACCGGTTTTGGGCCTCCCCTAGGTCGACTCGGCCTCATGAGTACCTGGTGCAGCTTGAAAGCATCACTGCTGGGGAGACAAAGGCAGCCAGGGGTGGTGCTGGCCACCCACGCCCTCGCTTACCGTTTCGACCTTCATAGGTGCTTGCTCACAGCACGTGCCCCTTATAGTCTGTTAAAGGCTATACGGGGGATCCTTTATCTTGGTGTGTTAGAACTCATTATTACCCAAGCCGCTCACAGTATGAACCAGTGATGGCTGCTTTTTGGAGGTGATGTTTTATACGGCAGAAACTGTTAACCAAATGACGTGCTCAGCACACGAGAGAGGCTGCTGGGAATACGAGCGTTCCTCATGGCAAGTCCGGGTGCCGCACCAATGTATATTTAAATAAACTCAATCACGCTGGTGAAAACTGCAATCCCCTTTCGTTGAAAAGATATTTATTAAAGTCGAGGCTTGTGTGCCCCAGCTCATAGTCCAATTGATGGGCTACAAAGATGTGTGGCTCTTTTCTTTTGCCTTCATGAGAAAGGTCTTTGTGGGTTAGATCGCTTAAGTACAAATCTGTCGTTAACCCGCCACCACCCAACAGCCAATTACTGCAAAGCGATCTTACCCAAAAAACCTATATTATGAATAATATTGGTCACGAAAGAACTGTGTGTAAAATTATTTTTCCTTGTTTACATTTGTCAAAAAACAATTAAGAACACCACGTACCATAGTAAATTCATAATTATTGTTATAAAGTCCTTTATCCAGGAATGCTTAAAGGAGTCCCCCAAGACTCCTTTACCTGCCGGCAGTCAGCAGGAGAGCCCTGCTTTAGGGCGTTAGGTTATTCGTTTTGTTTTTTTTAAAGAACGTTCTGAACAAACGTTCAATATGTTTTTAAAGAACGTTCTGCAGAATGAACAACATGTCGGTTAACGCACCTCCGTTTCGCACGGTTGGCCGCGTACGGTGTGAAAGAAGTTCACTATACATACTCACCTAGTGAAAACCGACACACACAATGAAGAATACCATTCATAAGTCCACACATATGGGTCACGAATCTATACCACGTTCTCCCAGCCCAGCAGATTGGGCTGTTATACGCCATTGTGGCCTCTTAAAAGCGCTGGATTACTGGTGTGCACCACCACCTTGTGTTTACGATGGAGATGGAGCGTTGATGAAATCGGCTTTTGTGTAGGCGCTTGGTCCATTGTTACATTGCAGAATCGTGAGTGATGGAGCCAGCTTAGGGGGGGGGGGAGGGGGGAGGCCTTCATCACAGCAGCCAAGATCAGTCCAGTAGTCAATTGATTATAGCTGCTGTCGATGATGATAATGATGACCACCTATGTACAGTTTGATCAGCATTACTTTGCGGGTGCCTTTGCTTTTCAGGGTCCCCTGTGTCCAGCCCGCCTCTGGTGGTTCATCATCAGCTGCCGCCGGTTGTCAGCAAACCCGTCAGCTACGCATTAGCCACGCCGGCACCCAGCTCCCAGCATTCCGTGCGGCATGCAGCGTCACCCTCATTACAAGCCGCCAAGAATTCCGTTCTCCAAGTCATGTCGCTCCACTCCGCGCATTCCCAGAAGCCACTTCTGCACATTTCCCAAAACTCCGTGCTGCTTACCACAGCGGTGCCTGTCTCCCAGAATTCCATGCTGCAGGTAGTGACGCCTGCCAGCCAGGTCTCCGCAAATTCTGTGTGCACCTATCCCGGTGTGACCAACGGGTGCATTCCCAAGGCTTCGCAAGGGGACGAGGATGGAGATACGAAAGGTGAGAGCGTTGACTGTGTTGGGACGGTTGCTCTAGGATGCTTAGAAGTACCGTACATTATTACTACACTGATAGTGTAGTAATAATATGGGATTACCCGCAAATTCCTTTTGGTAATTTGATTACAGCGATAGTTGTGACGTGTTACTTTCTAACACATCCGTAGTTAATCGGTGCGCACGTGTGTGTGATTTATTGTCCGCCACCAGATTGTCTCACGATTTGCCTGCCTATTTTAAAATGACACGTCACTTGATTAATTACTCGCAGCTTATCGCACTGTTCGGGTGACCTCCTTACGAGGTGTGTATTGGAATTTAGATTTTCCGGAGGTGGAGCAAAAGGGGTGCCAGTATTCTTTTCAAGACATTGCGTGGAAAGCATGAACAGCGCTAAATGTCACACAGGATGTAATTATTGCTGGCGACGAGCCGCGTCCGGTAAAATCGTCATGGGTATTTACTCGGATGTAAAAGTAGGCCAGTTGAGCGGTTATGTCCTCCGCGTGTGGAGAGCAGAAAAGCGGTACCCGGTGAACCAAACAATAACAGAAGTGGGACGGGCGAAACAGCCCTCCGTTGGGCTCTGACCCAGTTTTCTGCGCTGCCAATGTGCTGATCCAAAATCGGCACCTCAGGTCACGCGCAGGCAGTGGGCAGTGCGTCCCAAGTGGCCGCCCCAGTTGTTTCGGCTTATGTAATGTTTTAATTGCACACCAATAATTAGAATTTCCACATGCGTTCATGTCCCAAGTGAGCAAGACTCGTGAGTCTCAATCTGCGACGTTGCAGTTTGTTGACTTAAAGCTTTCGTGACTGCAGGAATTCATATCCTTGGGTCTTTCAGTAAAGTCACCTCGATAGGATCAAAGAAAATAATAAAAAAATTATTTTGTTTCAACCTATCGACGTGACTTTACCGAAAGACCCAAGAATGTTGCAATTTTAATTTTATATTTAGGAATAAAAATGTATGTGTGTGTGTGTGTCGTCATAATGTTCTGCCCCTTTGCCTATGCACTGCTGCAATTGACAAAGGGTCGTCGCAGCCATCGGGATACATCGGTACGCACCGAAATCGCAACTCAAAAGTCAATGTTGAGTTTATTTTACGCCTGTATTCTTATTGTCCTACCAAATTCACGTAACTTGTCTAAAAGGGTACGCTCATCCAATTTAACTTGCGTCACAATGTCTAAAAGAAAGGCATCGTCGAAATAAAATCAAGCCACGGAAATGAAATAAATAAATGAAACTGTTGATTCACCTCTTGCGACCCTCCGTCGGCTTTCGGAATTTCACTCCGTTCGAATGTAAATTGACATTCATGTGCTTATGATGATTGCTCCAAGTGCTTTCGACAGAAAGCACTGATCAATTTGAATCGTCGTGCTCTTCGTCCTGCGGGGCGACTCATTTACATGCAAGTGCAATTTGAATCGCGTCGAATGTGTTTCGCAATAACTGGCCACTTTGTGGCATGCGACAAATTGTATACGAACGGAAATCAATTGGTGAACTCCCAGCAGAGGTACCTTGGTGTGTTGCGAGTTGTGCCATTTGGGGACCCACATGCTTTAATTCATGTGCATCCAGCTCTGCTTCATCGAGCGGGGTCATTACGGTCCCACTCACTTTCTCTCTTTGCAGATGAGACGGAATCAAAGCCGTTTGTGGCGATCGCCCCCCATGGGGGCGTTATTCAAGTTGTACCGCCTTCCCACAATCCCACGGGGCAAGTGGTGGCAGTCGTGAAGCCTTCCCAGAATGCCCTGTTGCAGGGGCCTACGGTCGGCTCGCTGGGCGGCGTGGGGTGTGCGCATGATGCGGGGAGCAGCGATGCTGGCGGCCGTGTGGCCGTGCCAGTGTCGCAGGGAGTGGCTGTGGTGACGCAGACACCTCACAGCCAACAGCAGCAGCTGGGCCCAGGCACAGGCAGCAGCAGCAGCAGCGTCCACCACAATGGGTCCCATGCAGCATCCATCTCCCAGTTTCAGCAAAATCACGGTATAGTAATTGTCTTATTTTTAAGTTGATCGGCAGGAAGAGTGTTGGCTAAAGTTTTGGTGCTCCCATAGCTTCGAAGACCTCTGACAAGCGTGGAAAAGTATACCAAATGCAAGAGGGGACTCTGTCCGATGTTCATGCATATACAATGCAATTCTGGATAAACAATGAGCCCTCCAATCAGCTAGGAAACTTTAAGCTTGCTTTGCTGCATTTACATTCTCCTGACAGATAGTTTTGTGCGTACCAATAGTGAGTGGATAGAATAATTAAGCGAAAACAATTATTCACTTCTCATTAAACAAATATAAGTTCTTAACACCTTAATCACACGGTACGTTAATTGTAAATAAATTGTATTTCTCTCTGCAAGATGATGCAGCTTAAAAAACAATTCCATTAGGGCGTGCAACAAGCCCAACTGCACATTGTGTGAACTTGATTCTTATTGCTGTATGCAAGATTTAATCATGTACATAATAATTACTTGCCTGGTTTAACATGCTACATTATATCTCTGATATGTATCCTATTGCTTACATTGGTAATTAGTTGATATTGTTCAGTGGAATTTAATATGCCCATACTGTTGCTGTAGCTGGTTCCGTGCACACAGTGACTGTTAATCACAACAAGTGTTGAAACCAGATTTAGGCCTTAAACTATTTTTACCCGCTAGGAGGTGATTTGTTGTTTTTGTGGACACGACAAACATACTGTTTCTCTACATGGTTTTATTTTTGCTAGAGACGAAGTGAATCATCACACTTGTATTTAGAGAGATACAGCAGTATTTGAATTCCATATAAATGCAAAATCAACATCTCTGTAATTTTTTTAACCAATATTCTGCACCGTTGTGACAGATTGTGCATACAATAAATATAAGTGCATTTTTTCATTGCTCACATAAAATAACAATTTGACAACTGGGACTTCTGAACCAATGTTTTACATCAGCAATTGTTTTGCATTGGCAAGCTGTTGATCAGTTTTAACGAATCTTGAGTTTCATCAACAGTGTGTGACTGACAAATGGTGCTGGGTTTGTCTAGCAAGAGCATTTCAAACACCATGGGTTCTTCAGTACTCACAATGTGCTGAAAGGATGATTTTCTAATAGTTTGCATTTCTGGAGTCTGCTTTACGTGTTAATTAGATTCGTATAGTGGCCAGTTTCACGCGAAATTTCAATGCACAATGTTGTGACAATGCTGCAGAAGCCTGAGAAACTGCATACCACACACGGGGACGTCAACACACATTGCACTTTGCAAATCAGAATTTTTTGGGGGGGATTGCAGCACCCTCTGTTGGGGGTACATGATAAATGCATTCTTTACCTTGCCAAATAACGCACATTTCAGGCGGGGCTGTCTATGGTCAAGACGTCGGATAAATATTTCCACACCCAGTAGAGCACAACCACAGTTGCCCTCTCGGTAGCGAGATGTTAACTGCCTCGCCTGGTATACAGGAAGTCGTGGGTTCGATTCCGATCCTGATGCCTGTACATTTGGAGGTTGCGTGTTCTCCCCGTGGTTGCGTGGTTTTTTTTCTCCGGGTCCTCCAGTTTTTCCCTCCACATTTAGAATCAACATGCATTTAGAGTATTTGGCTGCTAAAAATTCCCACGTGATAAGCCACTTCGTTGAGCTACCATTTGTGATAGCCAGGTCGCTTCTGAGAAAGAGATATATAGCTCAGTGGGCCTTACCTGGTAAAATAAAATAAAAAAAATGGCTTAAATATTTTTTTTTTAGACCCATGCCCCAAGTCGAAGTCAAATCAGCATTCTAGGAAACATTCGGTGAGAAATGAAGCCCTGCCCACACGCGATCGGCACACGGGGGGGTGGGTTGGGGGTGTGGTGAGGGGAGGGGGGGGTGTGAGGGGGGTGTGAGGAGGGGTGAGAGGATAACGACGACGACACACGCTGAATCAATCTCCCTTTAAAGGGAAGCACCAAGTGGTGGGGTTTTGTCAGGAGGCCGCACATCCTTCACTCTTGACGCTCGGTCCGGCTGGCTCTGCGCCGGCGCGATGTCGTTTGTCTGCAGGCGGCGAGCGGCGGCCCGAGGTCAAACCTCCGTCGCTGCTGGCGTCCAAGCGCGCCGCCACCACGAATTCTCACGGCGTGGGCCTTCCGGCCGACTCGGAGCCCGAAAGGAAACGTGCGAAATCCGAGGGCGTCGGCAATGGGAGCGAACCGCTCCCCCCTCAGGCCGAGAAGAGTAGTCACGTTGTCGAGCAAAACTCCAAAAACTGAGGTGGGGGGGCGTGGCCCCTACCGTCGTCGGCGGCGGCGGCGGTGGTGGCGAGGGTGGCGCACCCCCTGAGCTAGGGCGTCTGCCTTCCACCCCCCCCCGCCTTCCCCCGCGCGTGAGACTTAGAGTCACCGGTGCATATACCACTTGTGTATTTTTGCCACTTTTAACGTGCTTCGGTGCCAAAAAATATATATATATCCTATTTTTGGAAATAAATGTCATGGCAGGGCACTCTATAAAGTGTGAAATAAACAGAAATACGACAAGTATGTTGGTGGAAAAAAAACTATTTTTCTCATTAATTGACTGGCCTTGCACATGATGTTTGTTTGCAACTCTCAAATCAAAAGTTTAGAACTCAGTTGTAACTGAGGAAATGTGATTATCGTTGCCCAACAGCAGCAAATTTCGTCAGCTTTAGTGTTGGAGCAATTTGGTTGTAACAGTTACGCATTGTGATTTTTAACACAGTGATGTGCATACGTGTTACAGTATTCCGCATTGTGTTTTTTCGTTTTTTTTCGTAACAAAACAGTGAGTATAACAATGCAACATTTCAGTGTGTGTAATCGCGAGAAGAGCTATTTCAAGTCAGCCCATTCGACTTGACAACGCTGCAGTGTCTTGTCCTCGTGTTTACCGACTCTCTCACTCTCTTCGAGTTTCATATTTATTTATTATTATTATTAAAAAATCCTATTAAAGTGGCAGCAAATTAGGATGGTAGTATATCATACGATTTGTGTTACGGTTAGTTATTTGGTAGTTTTATTTTTTATATCAATAAAATATTAACAAATAGTATTCGTAAATTTTGGCTCTGTTGACCGCAACAGTTGAGATATCTGACAGAAGCAAGGAGGCAATGGCATCATCAGCCTTGGAGCTTGATGACCTCTTGCCCTTTTTTTTGTACTGTTACCGATTCCTTTTTTCTACACCTGAAATGCTCTTGGTCCCTTAAAACACATCGCAGAGAGACTCTGGAGTTAGGAACAGCGACGTAGGCGATGCAGTATTGTGCACACTTTAGTTGCAGAGAGCATTTTTATATTTTCCATGCAGTCCTTTTGGCGGTGTGCAGCATTTCACTGACCAGGCAGTCGCTGGTAGACCTGTTGCTTTGCGTTTGTTATTTAACAAAAAAGGAAATCATATAGATTACAATGGCCATCACCTATTACTTGCTGAGCTTTCTGAACGTTTTTTGTGTGCGTGTCGTAAGAAGCTGTCGTTCTTTTGCATGTGCGCCCGTCTTTTAGTACGCGGTCGTTGTCGTTCGAGGGTCGGCGAGTTACACCCTTGGGGTGGTGTCGCCTTGTGCGGCCCACCCTGCTTCCGGAGCTGAGCACTGTGGGATAGCGGCCTCCCGACTTTGGACGCAAAGAATGTGTGCGCTGCCCGACTTTTTATCAGATGCACACTGCGGCGAGGAACCTACCTTACATTTAATTTCATGTGGCCCATGGCCAAGAGGCTTGCCACTTTGCAATGGCCCGCCAAATGATATTTATTCATCATTGTAAGCATCCCAGCTGCACTTATCGGGTACCCGACAAATATTTTTTGACCAGGTAATTCTGTTTTACAATACTAGCTTGCTTGGTTACTACTGTCAATTCAAGGGCCTATCTATCCTCGGTTGACGCCTACGTTTGCTTTTGTGTTTGTTGGTTAATGATTAGGTGCGTGTTAATGTTTGGCTGCCTGCCAAAGGTATTTGAAAGTTCTTTCCGGCCCTCTGTAAGTTAAGGGCTTCTCCCATCCCTGCGATAGAGCAAAGTCCAAATTGTGATTTCTACGTAAGGCAGTGTGTGTCAGTATTCAGGGTCCTGTCGCCTCCTTGGGGGAGAAGTAATTCGGAACCAACTGCCCCCCCCCCCGCCCCCGCTTTATTGACTTCGCCCCGAGCCGTCTTGCGAGCACTTGAAAGCAGTGCGCTGATGCAAAGGGCCATCGTACACGTCCCCCGAATGTTCGTTAGGAAAGTAGCACTGCAGGAGGTGGCCAGGTGGTGGCTCGGAGCACGGAGCGCTGAGCTGGCACTGCTGAGATCCTGGTTTCAAATCCAGATTTTAGCTGCAAGTCAACCGGGTTCTCAAGTGCAGTGGTTTGATGGTCTCAGTCTGCTCACCAGTGACTGCACTAAAAAATTGATGGTATTAAATTTAGTTTTGCACTTAATCTGCTGGAATGCGACTGATAAAAAAAACACATTGGTTCCACTGCCATGCGATGCGGGAAAGTGGGAACGGTTCAAATCACATGCCGTGATGCCGTTAGCACAATATGAAAAACAATGGGGGATTTCATTTATTTTTTTACAAGTGGAAAACAACAAGGCAGCGGTTGCAGCCTGCACTTTAATAGATGCCTGCATTCACCCCACTTTCAATCATTGTCCTGGGAACAATAAGTATAAGTGGCTGGGCGGGAGACCATGAGAGCCACGGGGTCCCATTGCCTGGCATTGGATAACCCAAAATGTAATTCCTCTTTGCTGACAATACGTTTTTGAATTAACTCCATCCTCAGCGAGAACCCTTTCCAGGTTAGTCCCATGCAGTGTTACATTCAGTTTCATTAAACAATAGGGGCGGGCGGGGGGGGGGTGAACAATCCACTCAAGGATAATGTGGATTGTGTTTCCTGGCACCTGCTTGTCATTAATTTTCTTGACCCCGGCAGAACAATATATATTCACAAGGGTGAATGCGATAAGATTGTCTTCTTTTGTTCCTTAAAAAATGTGGATCGGTTTCCAGGAAGCGTATTTCTCATCGCACTAACCTAATTCGCACATTCTTTAATTTCTCGCCACTTGGGGGGGACGAGAAAGCAAATTCATCGGATGCTTTCGAGCGCTGCGCACAGCAACGCCGTTGCTTTGGCACTGCAAGCTGGCATGGAAACAGGAATGATGATCGGTTGTCTCGGCGGTGTTGTTACACCATCACAGCGGTCGCACCTGCTCCCGTAATTCTTGCCTTTAAACTGTAGCTGGCGAGTATGGATAAGGATTTGCATCCGTGGGACACTTAAGGGCCTCTGCATCTCAAAGCGCCTGACATCATCACCTCTCGACCATCCCAATGCCCGTGCTTGCAGCCTAGCCAAGAGCACCGTCGGTGGCACGCGGTCACCGTGTGGCACATGTTTTCATCATAATGGAGACTTTAATGGGTCATCATTCACTGTACTTGTACAGCCTTTTGGTTAGTCCACTGCTGAATAAGGGCCACCCCATACCTGTGCAGGTCCTGAGAGATGTTTGACCACATCCCGAGTTCACCAGCGCTGGTCAACGTTTGTTGACCAGCGTGCTGCACTGCCCTCTACTGCCCACAAAGGCCTATGACACCCCATTTGTGTGTGGTGGTCACCCATCCAGACAATTCAAGCTCAAACCCTGCTTAACTTCTGGTATCTGACATAATTTGGATGTGCCATCATTCATTAGATTGCCACGTGAAATAGCCAAGATCGTATTGAAAACGTTTGGCCTTCTTATCGCCCGTGGTGAAAACGCTCGCTTAAGTTAATTTTGTTTCTCCGTTCACTTTTTCCCCCATGTGCGTTTCTCTCTCAGTACCATGTTTAAGTAGAAAACATCGTTAAATGCCTTCACTTAAATAGGCAACGTACACCTTGAGTCACGGTGGAATATTGTAGGTTAATATCTATTACACTTTCGTTTTACATGCTGCGAATGATATGGTTTCCTTGAAGGCCCCTTGCAATGCTCTCGTTTTTGTATGCACCAAGGCTGCGTAACATGAGTAACATGAGTAACATTACACTGAGGTCTGAATCCAATCCAGTACCGACATTGCCAGGATCACACGTGACATGGCGGTCTATTTACCTTGATGGTATGAACGTGTAACGGTTACTTGCAGCAACCGCGCCTTAGTTTTAACTTTAAAAAAACCTTGTATTTTTTTTCTTTTACGCAACAAAATAGCGGATCAAATTTGTTAACGTTCGAAACGTTTACGTAATGGTTGGGGATGCACGCTCTTGTTGCACGATTATTTTATGGTTGTGTAAAGCGGGTGCGTCTGTAGTTGATAATACAATGAAGGCTGTATTTAGATCAGTTCATCGGTTTACTCGAGTCATGAGTAAAGTCAAAGTACTCTCCTTACTCAAACGAGCATTTGGGTGGCGCTCATCTCTGCTGGTGAACACTGAGGCAGCAGTGGAAGTTGTACGTTTCTATGCCAGAGGACAGTCTATCCATAGAGCAACCATTGTGTTGACTTACTACAAAGCGTGATGTACGTTTTTAAACGTTTGCTCGCGAGTGCTGCATTCTAATCGCAGCGCCACCTTGCCACATTACCGTGTAATAATAGCTTCCCGTGTAATAATAACTTGCCGTGTACAAAAGTCGAGAAAAATGCTGGTGAGAACAATTGGGCACCTTCTGTACGGCGGAGTGTCTGCACGCTCCCCAATTCCTCACTGGAGAGCGGGCGGCCGCCCTAAAATAAACGGGCTAAACCTTAAGTGGCTCAAGCCACGTTGTTTGTTTTTTTTCTTGACAGTGATGGTCAACAGCTTTCTGCGTTGACTAATTGGGAGCATGTCAACGGCCACCTAATGAAACGCAGGCTCATGGTTTAGCGACTAAAGCCCCATTTTTGTTTTCTGATGGTGGCCATTGACATCGCGCCGTTCTATAATGAAGGGATTTGTACTTGTCGACGACTGCCTATGAAAGTCGGGTTTAAACCAAGTGATGAAAGCCCCGATTTTTCTTCAAAGTGATTAAACATATCTGGCTTCAAACTAAACGCTTACACGCAAGCTAGCCACAATGCATACTCGGTGTTTGTGCAGTCGGGTAAGGCTGTTGTTGTTCACTGGAACTGACCCGATGTCGTGTTGCTTTGCCATGTTCCTGACTTTCTAAGTGTTAAACTTATGGTCATCATGTTTTCCCCGAATGGGTGATGGACTCTATATTTGAAGCTTTCGTGACTGCAAGGATTCATACTCTTTGTTTTTTTCGGTAAAGTCACGTAGGTAAAAAAAATGAAAACTAAATTAAATCACGACGTTTTGGGCACAACACAAGCGTCCTCCTTCAGGTGGAGACACTCTTAAGCATTTGTGCTTTCGCTACGTTGTCCCCACCTGAAGAAGGACGTTTGTGTTGCGCCCGAAACGTCGTGATTTAATTTAGTTTTTCATTTACTTTGTTTATTTTTTTACCTACGTGACTTTACCGAAAACAACAAAGAGGGTGATGGACTCCTTTGGGAGGGACGTCCGTTGAATGTTCAGTAGTCTCGGGTTACTAAGGTTGTGATAACGCAGGGGATCATCAGTCTCATGATACAATGATAAAATCATGCATGTAGAATGGATTGATTTTCTTTCCGTATACCTTGTAACGAGTCGTCGTGACCCGCTGCGTCTACCCGTGGCCGCCAGATCACCACAAGAGACAAATCTCCACCCTGGATCTGGTGCATTGATGAATTGATGTCGAGCGCCAGAGCTTGCGTTACACGTGTCAAATAATGTGCTGTAGAATCGACGTTTACATCATCGTGCTGTCAAACCCCAATGGTTGAAGATGTGTGGTGGCCCTCGCACTGATGATGTCTTATCGGCGAAACGTGCCCCCCCCCCCTCTGACGAATAGTGAAGAACACTGCACTGCAGGTGCTACCGTACACTGCAATGTTATACATTTTTTTGTAGATAGCATCATTGAATCCTGATCCTCTTTCGTGACAATCGATACAATCGCCAAGAGGAGGGGAATGATTTCCATGCCGAGTACATACCTATTATTATTGTAGCCACATCTTCACAATAATCAGCTAATTTGTATTATGTTTGTATGTCTGGAGAACTTGTCCAGCACCACTCCACCAGTTTGAAGGAACAAAATGTAATTTGAAAGTTTTGCACGTGCAGTTCGTATAAATGATGGCAATTAACCCCCGTCCCCAAAAGATATATTGAAGTCAGCCGATTCAGCCAAGCACTGCATAGCCACTCCCGTTCGCTATAACTGACGTGGCCCAGTCATAGGACATTCGATGCTTGTTGCAGAGGTTTGCAGTTTGAATCCAGAATGCTGCCCTAGTTGGTAGTGAGGGTGTATTAACCGTGAAATACTCCGCGCCGCCCGTTTCGCAGTGGATGGTTAACATCCTGTGGTGTAATTTAAATACGAGTTGGGCCATTGTGTGCCGGTTTCGTGGCTCAAAATCAGCCAGGTTTAAACAATTACTTCGCTAATTCGTCAATTTGGGAAAAACGTGGCAATCGTCGCCCCCCCTACTGCAAGAAACTTAGCGAGACCCTCCTGGAAAAGGGTCTCGCGCCGTGAATGGAGTTTCGCATGCTGGGGCGGCGCTAGCCGTGGAATGTCAACGGTGCTTCCCACGAGTAATCTGTCGGGCTAATGGAAGCTCGGCGGCAGATTTTGGTATAGCTTAACATGCATTGCACCACCTCTGTTTATATCAAAAGCCTGCCCTTCGTGGTTAGATTTTTACGTTCAAAAAGGGCACATTTAAATACCGCATTCCACAAGCATCTGCCAGATTAGGGTATTATTATTTTTGTATTACTTTTTTTTATTAATAACTGCACCATTTAGGTGAAATCATGGTCCTTCGTGCATGTCCCCTTTCGTTCAATGATCAGCTGGGAATAACACTGTGAGACAGGAAGGGGGGGGGGGGTATACTTGGATCGTGTAACAAACGCAAATGAGAGACGTCCATAGTGACTGTTGAGAAAAAGTGTGCTTTGGCAGCACACATCACCAGAATGAAGGATGATTGGAAGAAACTGGTGATGGAATGGCAGGCAAAAGAGTGAATGTGTCCGAGAGGATGACCATGTAGAGACGGCGGCATGAGATACATCCATGTGCACGAGTGAGATGGGTTGTAGCACGGATTGTGTCACAGAACCATGAGAGATGGGTGACGGCATAGGTGGTGAGGCCTTCATTCGACAATGGTCGATGGTGAATCGGTGTATTTCGCTTTATTGATATGGCCCTCGTAGATGTCTTAACTTTCAGTTTTGTCATATTTGCAAATTAAGCGTGTGCGTGCAACTCATATTACTCTTCAGTTATTCTTGATTCCATCGTTCAAGCTGCTTCAAGGTTAAGGGAATGATCTTTTCAAGCCTCCACTGAGATATTGGGAAACTCCCTGCTCTGTACTTGGAAAGCGACCACCGGGGGCCTGCCCAGTTGTTTGTGGGCGATGGGGGACGTAAGATGGCCATGAGATGGCAGTGCTGAGACTTACCAACCCCCCCCCCCCCGCCCCCCCCACATATAGCGTGGTGGGTTTCCTCTGGACACTGTTTTTCTCTGACAAGGACACATTCAATGTAATTGTCCAACCATCCCAGTGCAGGAACTTCCTGGAAAAAAAAAACAGTCCAGAGACTTTTCTTGAGTGAATACTTGCATTTGTTTTAATGGTTTCGTTTCCCTCCCCCTTCACCATGTATTGATCTACACTGTGGGTAATGATATGGAGTTTGGTGTGAGGCGTGGTGCAGTGATGACACTTGGAGGCTGCCATCATTTGTTTTGCCTTTTTATTTATTTGTGACCCACGATCGTATTTCATTTTGTTGTCGCCATTGCGCTGAGGCAACTTTACGAGTGAGCAGTGTGACGCCGTGCCAGAGATCGGGCCCTACTTCTGAGGTCGCCTAAATTGTCCTCTTATCAAAAATAGGATACCCTGCAAAGAGCGTCGTTCATATAAATTAAACCAAAATAGTTATCGGAGGTGAAATGTACCAAATTAAGTAACAAAAACAAACCAAATGTAATAAGCGTAATTATTGTGCAGTCATTGGTGACTCATTCTGAGACCATCAACTCGTTGAGCTTGAGCACTTGGTTCTAGTCACAGGTGGCTGAACCCAGGATTCAAACCCAAGATCTCAGCACTGCTGGTTCATTGCTTCGAATTGGGCAACACCTCATTTTCACTGTACACCTGAGCCATGCCGATCTGACTCGGCACAGCCCCCGAGCAGCCGTGGTGCTTGATGTCGCGTGCAGCGAACGTAGGTTGCGTCGGGTCCGTTAATGTTCAACGATTGACCCCTGGCCCGGCACGACCCCTGTCTTGTGAGGCCAGTTGTCACGGTTTGGTTCTGGCTCGCAAAATAGCCAGTGGGAAAACAGACCAGTACCGTGAGGGCCCCATGCTGGCTTGGCTCAGATGTGCCAGTGGAAAAGGGGCATACAAGTCCCACTGAGTAACTCGGTCACTTCTCGTCTCTCGGTGTCAGCGATGGGCTCATTGATCTGCACTCATCCAGCGTTACCCATGGATTTACTTTGGATAACGTTACCTTCAGTTTGTTTTTTTGTTGCCGAGAGAGAGGCCTCCTAATGATCATGTAATGGCCTATGTCATTAAATTTTTTAAGTATGCACACAGAAATACAGTCTGTATGTGTATACAAACACTATATATACAATTGTGTACTTTTACATGGTTCTCTGTATATGAATGAATTTGTATTTAATAAATACGTGCACACATGCCGAGTACAGTACTACGCGTATGCCGAAGTTAGCATAGTGCATTCGACTCCTTTCCTGAAGGAGAAAGAATCTTTTTGAGTTTCGGGTTTGGGCTTCACTTACATTTCAAGTCGTCGTAATTGAATTGCACTGTCACTTCGACGATTTGGGCTGCAGTGATTAACGAACATTGACGAATCGCGACAACGGACACCTTGGCGTTTTGTAAAAATGCGAGTGCAGCTTTTTCGGTTCTCGTGTTCCTCCCCTCTTGAGTTGCCATACGGTGGGTTGCATAGATTTTGCGGCATTTGCCCAGACTTTTGTGGCATTGCCCCGCTGGATTCGCAAGTCGTTAAAGAGGTCTGACGTTTGTACATTTTCATCAATTTTTTTTGTAAGGCTACGATTTTGTCACGAGAGGTCACGGTTGGGGAGGGGGGGGGGCGCGGGATTAATAAATTTGAATGACGTCTGCGAAATCTTGGAAATGGCTGTAGAATCCGCACGTCCTTTATTTCCTTGCATGGATACCATACATAGGGGACGGGGTGGGTTGGTGGCGGCAGGGTCGGTGGGAACAACCTCGCCTTATTTCGTGAAAACATTTTTTGGGTTATTTTTTTTGTTCGTTGCATCGGCTATGAATTTTACAAACAAAAGGTTTACCGTGCCAAAATTGTAGCCTTAATTAAGGGGGTTGACTGCGTGCCGAATGGAGAGACGCTATTAAACACGGAGGCAATGTCACCACGAGAACTGTAGTAAGTAACAAAAAAATATAATAATCTCAAGTTGTTGTGGTCCCTGAAGAGTAGGTGAATACCGTCCGTGTGTTCTGCATGTATACAAGCGAAAGGAAACAGCTTTGCACTTGACGCCTAATACTGACGTGTTCGCACATGCCACCCGGTGTGGAGGCGGTTGCGGCACCCTACATTCATGCCGTTGCTTTTTAGCTCTAGGCATGACCCGCTGCTGCTCACGTGATACTGTGTAGATTACACTCTTGCGAGATGCTATCGGTTTGCGCGCACGTGTGACTTTCCATTAAAATGATCAGAACACGTGTTTTTAACGGGAGGTCTCTCCGATTTCACGAGCGACTTTTGAGACGTTGCGGTCGCAAAGCGAGGTACGGAGCGAGGGGCGAGTGGGTTGGAGGATTTGCCGGGGCGAGAGGGACGGCGAGTGGGTTGGAGGATTTGCCGGAGCGAGGGGGACGGGGAGTGGGTTGGATGATTTGCCTGGGCGAGGGGGACGGAGGGAGTGGGTTGGAGGATTTGTCGGGGCGAGGGGGACGGGGAGTGGGTTGGATGATTTGTCGGGGCGAGGGGGACGGGGAGTGGGTTGGAGGATTTGCCGGGGCAAGGGGGACGGGGAGTGGGTTGGAGGATTTGCCGGGGCAAGGGGGACGGGGAGTGGGTTGGAGGATTTGCCGGGGCGAGGGGGACGGGGAGTGGGTTGGAGGATTTGCCGGGGCGAGGGGGACGGGGAGTGGGTTGGAGGATTTGTAAAGCACTTGCAGATATTGGTTGTCCTTTCTTTTTTTGAGTATGCAAAAGCGTTATATTCATGCCTACGGATACTCGAGCATTCCACACCTTGGTTGAGCTCGGACAGAATGTGACGTTTGTGAAGTGGATCTGTTTTATTGCAAAAAACGCCAGATGGATTATCAGTGCAAGCGCCTCGTGGGGGGAGCATTCAAGCCGGAGTCGTGGTCTGATGCAGGTTTTTTTTGTATGCCCACATGCCAGTTGTGGTCTTTGGGAGGTCACTTGAATCGGGCGGTGTGCCAGTGAATTTTTCATTAACTCCCTTTGCCGCATCAGACATGGTGCATGTTGCTGGCTATCGATACCTTTGCTCGTAATCGCATCGGAAACTTCAATACGAACGGTACGTCTGGCTGGCACAGAAAGCACCGTGACTTCAACTGTTACCGGTTGTACCTACTTCACAAACAATGAGGCGGACATCCAAATTGGCACTACTCTTGACGCTGAATGATCTCGCGATGTACGACATATCACAATACTGAATTCAATGCTCCTAACCAGTATGGGTTTTGTCGTTTATTTTGCAGTCTAGCACATAGCCTGTGTCCGGAGTATTTAGGTACAAGAAGCTCTTAATGTTTGGCTTTCATTATCTGGTAACTACACTCAGCATAGGAGTGGGTATAAGAACGTGGTGATTTACACTCAACGAATATAATATCAGAAGTGGTGGTTGGGCTCCAATGAGGAGGCGTTTGACTACACCAGCCAAATGATGTAGTTTCATTGCATTTCCAATAAATGGAGACTTGAATGAAACTGAACGAATGTTTGTTTTTGTGCTGTTAACTTTTTTCGCGGGTTCATTGCGCGATAAATGTAGCTTTTTTTTTAAGCAGAATTTTTGAATGTGGGTCAAGTCGACCCATCACTCCTCCATGAAATAAGTACACCTTCATGGGGAGTCGTCATTGGTCTTCCTATGGGGAGATAGGCCCGTCTTCATCCAGCAGTGGATTGGCAAAATACTGTACGTGTACATGCACCGTTACTTGGCTGCTCAAAATAAATACACCATTTATGAAGTTCAATGAATATGGTTTCGGACGAAAAAATATTGTCTTATTTTTTATTATACAGAGAGGGAAAAAAGTATTTGATTCCCTGCTGATTTTGTACGTTTGCCCACTGACAAAGAAATGATCAGTCTATAATTTTAATGGTAGGCTTATTTGAACAGTGAGAGACAGAATAACAACAAAAAAATCCAGAAAAACGCATGTAAAAAATGTTATAAATTGATTTGCATTTTAATGAGGGAAATAAGTATTTGACCCCTCTGCAAAACATGACTTAGTACTTGGTGGCAACCCCCTTGTTGGCAATCCTGCAGGGCCCGCAAGGTCCCCCTGCTCAATAAAGCACATATACATGCCCGTCTGAAGTTTGCCAATGAACAACTGAATGATTCAGAGGACAACTGGGTGAAAGTGTTGTGGTCAGATGAGAACAAAATGGAGGTCTTTGGCATCAACTCAACTCGCCGTGTTTTGAGGAGGAATGCTGCCTATGACCCCAAGAACACCATCCCCACCATCAAACATGGAGATGGAAACATGCTTTGGGGGTGTTTTTCTGCTAAGGGGACAAGACCACTTCACCGCATCAAAGGGACGATGGACGGGGCCATGTACCGTCAAATCTTGGGTGAGAACCTCCTTCCCTCAGCCAGGGCATTGAAATGGGACGTGGATGGGTATTCCAGCATGACAATGCCCCTATACACACGGCCAAGGCATCAAAGGAGTGTCTCAAGAAGAAGCACATTAAGGTCCTGGAGTGGCCTAGCCAGTCTCCAGACCTTAATCCCATGGAAAATCTGTGGAGGGAGCTGAAGGTTCGAGTTGCCAAACGTCAGCCTCGAAACCATAATGACTTGGAGATCTGCAAAGAGGAGTGGGACAAAATCCCTCCTGAGATGTGTGCAAACCTGGTGGCCAACTACAAGAAACGTCTGACCTCTGTGATTGCCAACAAGGGATTTTGCCACCAAGTACTAAGTCATGTTTTGCAGAGGGGTCAAATACTTATTTCCCTCATTAAAATGCAAATCAATTTATAACATTTTTGACATGCGTTTTTCTGGAGTTTTTGTTGTTATTCTGTCTTTCACTGTTCAAATAAACCTACCATTAAAATTATAGACTGATCATTTCTTTGTCAGTGGGCAAAAGTACAAAATCAGCAGGGGATCAAATACTTTTTTCCCTCACTGTACTCTATTATATATGGCTTTTCGTTAAGTAGCAACGTGAAATCAAAATGTTTGAAATCTGAGAATCTTAAAAATGACTACAGCTGACTCATGGTATAGTGTTAACCGTTTGTGGGCATCTAATCGCCGGCAGCGTGACTTTCATAATATGGTGTTTAAAAAGTATCAGAAAATGCATGATTGTAGTTCACGTCGGCATTGCAGTGAACGTTGATCGAAGAACATGGCCATGCAAATTTTTTTTATATATATAACTTATAAAAGTTGCGGAGGTGTTATTTTTAGCAAGTAGCTGAGCTATTGCAAGAGGCTGGCCAGGTATCCTGGTGTGAAGGGTTACAAGTCGTCTATGCTGCATATATATTCTATGAAAATTTTATGATAACAACCACATGGGAGTAACATGCAGGGTAGAAAATGGGTGAATGCCCAGCAACGCAGCAGGCCAGAACGCCCCCTGTACCAGAGCGGCATGCGGCATTTTAAATTGCTCTGATACAAGACCACTGAAAGGCATCGCGTTTATATCTCAAAACGTAAAAAAAAATTCTGAAGATTTGCTTGAGAGTTCAAATTCTCATCCTTCAGTACCTTTATAAGGCTGGAACAAATGGTCGATTAATCAGCTAAAACTTAACATCGACTAATTATATTGCGGTCGATTACTTGGAAGGCAGGCCGATGATGCCGGTGGCATCACTAAGGCCTGCACAATCACCTCCCGTTCACATGGAGGGGGGTGGTGGGGGGGGGGGGGGTGAGGCTTTTTCAACGATCCGGATCTATCCCAAGGAATCGAAGAGCCCCAGTATAATTACGTGTAAGTGTAACGTTCTGCTAAAACGAATGACAACACGGGAGGTGGGCGTTGGAGGTGGAGGGGGCGGCAAATGGCTTAAGAGATCTTGCAATTGTTGCGGGTACAGCTGTGTGTGGGCGGGCTGGCAGTGGGCTTGGTGGGCTTGCCGGCGCCCGCCCTCCTTAGCGTGGTCGTGGCGGCGTACGAGCGTCCGTGCATGATGACCGCGTTCATGCCGTTGGCCTTGGAGAACGACTTGAGGCTGCTCCTAAGCGTCACGGGGATGGGCAGCTTGTCCACCAGGTGGATGGGCGTGCAGGAGACGATGGCGCGGCAACACAAGTCCTGCAAACTCAGCACTGCGTGGAGCACATAGGGTGCGCGTCCGTTATTGCCACGGTCTGAAATGTCAAAAACTAAACTAGTTTTTTTTTACCAGGTAAGGCCCACTGAGCTATATATCTCTTTTTTTTTCCTAAAGCGACCTGGCCACAAATGATAGCTCAACGAAGTGGCTATTCACGTGGACATTTATAGCAGCCAAATACTAGAAATGCATGTTGATCCTAAATGTGGAGGGAAAAAACTGGAGGACCCGGAGAAAAATCCACACGACCACGGGGAGAACATGTAAAGTCCAAATATAGAAGTGTCAGATTCAGGATCGAACCCACGACCTGTATATCAGTCGAAGTATTTAACATCTCGCCACCGTGGTGCCGTATATACATCAAGTCTGAATGCTGTGTCAGCTCCAGTTTAGACTCAAAACTGAGTTGAGCGCCTCTCCTTGTTCAAACTTGGCGTGGGCGCTCGTGCTCACGGTGAAGATCCTAAGCCAGCGGTGGGAGCCAGTCCCTCCACAGGACAACAGTTCATCAACCCTGGAACGAACATAGCGATGGTAAAGATAGTTGACGAGAGGTGAGAAGAAGAAGCTCAGAATAGAAGTAGATGGATAAAAAAAATATCTGAGCAGCCGAGCCCACGCAATAGCTGGGACTTGTGACTTAAAATAATAAGATCCCAGTTTGATGAAAAATAAGAATAGGTTTTACCCTTTCTGGCAATAAAACAGCTTCGACTGCAACACAAGCAGTAGAAACGTCGTGAGAATTTTATCGTTTTTTATTTTTATTATTTTATTGTTTCCCTTCTACGTGACTTTACCGAAAGAACCAAGAATATGAATCCCTGCAGTCACAAAAGCTTTAAGTCAAAAAATAAAACAGCTGTTAAGATGTTCAAACACCAACTAGATACCTTTTGCAAGGCATCAAGTCTGCATTAACCACACAGATCCCAGTTGCCTGCAAAAGGGGGGGGGGGTGGTGAGGGGGGGGAGTGGCCGCCAGTTTTGTGCAACAATAAAACCAATTTCGCAGAAACTTCAACAGCTGGCGACAGTTTGCCCCGCGAGCAACTCCCTGAAGCGCACGTCGCCGAGAGAGCCTCACCGCTGTTGGGCCAGAAGAGGCGGTCCATGCCGTGTCGCATGAGCACCACCCGCGACAGCTCCGTGAGCGACTCGGTCACGTTGAAGTTGCACAGGGGGCTGACCTCGAAGAACGCCATGCCGTTCCGCTCGGCGTACGCCTGCGCCTGCTCCGCCGTCACCTGCCGCTTGAACGCCAGGTGCAGCCGGTTGCCCACCAGCACCTTGGGCACGCCCGGCGCGTGCTGCGCGCACACCCAAGCGGTGCGTTACCGCGCGCACACCCAAGCGGTGCGTTACCGCGCGCACACCCAAGAGGTGCGTTACCGCGCGCACACCCAAGCGGTGCGTTACCGCGCGCACACCCAAGCGGTGCGTTACCGCGCGCACACCCAAGCGGTGCGTTACCGCGCGCACACCCAAGCGGTGCGTTACCGCGCGCACACCCAAGCGGTGCGTTACCGCGCGCACACCCAAGCGGTGCGTTACCGCGCGCACACCCAAGCGGTGCGTTACCGCGCGCACACCCAAGCGGTGCGTTACCGCGCGCACACCCAAGCGGTGCGTTACCGCGCGCCGTGCCGAATAACCTTTGTTGCGTTTGGGGCAAGAAACTTCGCACGGATGTCTTGTTGTTGTTGTTGTTCAATCCTCCTCCTCCTCTCCCCTACCACCACTTTCAGAGTTTGATTCCCAGCCGTGGCGAACGTCGGTGGCGAGTGATACGTGAACAAGCACCACTGCCCCCCCCCCCCACCCCCCCACAACCCTCCACTATCACGCACTGGCTCGAATGGTGAAGTATAGTCAAATAACCCCCCCACCCCCCACGATCAACGTGGCATGGGGAAACCTTCATCCAGCTGTGGATTGAGAAAGGGATGGGAAAATAACGGTGGGAGACAATCTTGCCATGATTTTCGATTTAAAGCTTTCGTGACTGCAATGATTCATCTTCACAATAATATTCTCACGAAAACGTCGTGAGAATATTATTGTGTTATTTTATTTTATCAATTTATTATTTTATTCTCATTCTACGTGACTTTACCGAAAGAACCAAAGAAGATGAATCTTGCCATGATTTGAGTTTCCAACAGCGACTGGTACGTATTTTGTAAGGGAGATAACCGGCTGAGTTAACCGCTAACTAGAATGTAAACTCAGAACCTTGCCATTACCTTGGATTCATCATTCATTGGTAAATAAAAAAAACATCATCGATATCCTCCCTCCAGTGACGTGGTCTGCTTTAACTAATAACGAAAATGCTTTAAAAAAGAAAAATTGATTCGCCAAGTGGCAATGGCTAAGTGCAACGTCTTATTCAGAGTGCGACTCTATGGATGATGGATTCGCATTGCAACGTCACGGCTTGTAAAGAGCCGGTGCATAATTTATGTTGTTGAAGTGGACACGTCATGAGTACCCACCTCCTCGATCTCCTTGATCCACCGGTCAATTCCGTCGAAGGACCAGCGGCTCGTTATGTCGTACACGAGCAGAATACCCTGGTGCGCACACAACGCCCAGCGTCCGAGTGAACGCACATACACTCGGTGCGCATGTCAACATTGCCCAGTGGTGCTGTGTCCTTAATGCTGCAAATGTGTCCCGGCAGCTTTTTGCACGGAGTGCTGCCACAATGCTAAGAGCCATGCTACAGAGGGTGACCACAAAGGTATCATCCATCCGTTGTTCAAGAATTATAATTAGACAGCCAGTGTGAGCTGGTTGCGGAGTAATGGTTTGCGAAGTGGACTTGGAATCCACCGTGGATGTTTCTTTAATCCCGCCGCACATGTCCACCCGGCAGGATAAATAGGTGCACCGTTTGGTGAGCCGCATGTGGTGGGGCAAAGTGTGGGTGCTCCCACTTCTTCCACAATATCTGGAGCGCGTGGAAGAGTTCGCCAACATACCCTCTAGAGTTTCCTCCAGTGAAGGTCCTTCCCCAAGCAGTAACGTGAGCAAGCAATTGCAGGGCTGCACCTTTAACTTTTTTTTTTATTCTAGGTCGATAAATTACACACACACACACACGTGTGCTTGGTAGTGTGAAGATAGCATTGTATCGGTGTCATCCGTCTAAAAATCCCACGTGTCCATGGTTGCGTTGGTGACGCAGATCGTAACGAGAGATGAGAGAGTCCCAGGTGATCGTCTGGATCGAGGCTGCGTTTAAAATCTTATTCCTAGGTGATGTTAAAGATCACTCAAATATTTGATCACTCAAACATGTACAAGTAATGCACTGCAAACGTTCCAAACACACAGTTAAAACTGCCTTCTCATTAAAATACTTTTTTAACGGTTAATAACACCTTTACGGGCAAAATTAAAATGATTGCTATAGAGCAGGGGTCACCAAACTACGGCCCGCGGGCCGGATCCGGCCCGCGACGTCAGTCCATCAGGCCCGCCGACGGTACTTGAATTTGGTTGATAAAACGTATGGAACACGAGACGTCGTGATACAATTTAAATTTAAATATTATGTTTAGAATACTAGGAGATCTTCACGCGTGCGGAGACCTCCTTACTGCTATGTGCCTTAAATTTACTATTTTAAATGTTAAATTATTGTATCTAGATTTTCTTGTTTATTGTAATGTTTGCTTATTTCGCGCCATCCCAAGTCCTTCCCCGGCTCGTGGTAGCTCCGCCTACGCTCTGACGTTACCATGGTTTCCATGGTAACGTCATGGCAACACGTTACCATGGTTCCCATGGCAACACACACAAACACGCATCTTTCCCACCCCCAAGTATTGAACAGAATGATTATGCGGCCCGCGCTCGTCATTCTATCAGTTATCCGGCCCGCTGTGAAACAAGTTTGGTGACCCCTGCTCTAGAGTGTTAGGTGTATGTGTGATTCCTTGGCGTACCTGTGCTCCCCTGGAATAGGATCGGAATATCGTGCAGAACCTGCCCTGTCCCGATGTGTCCCTGCAAAACGCACGTAGACGTTACCCTCGATTACCCGGGGTAATGGGAGTGCGGGTGGACTGGACAAAATAAAAACACGGATAATACACCATTGGAAACTTCATTTGCCAGTAACAAAATATGATAATTGTTTTTTTTATCACTGGCAAATGAGGTTTCCAATGGTGTAAATGCTTACCCCGAGCTCTCATACTCTGATGGTGCATTGTCTTTGAGTTGTGCGCCTTTTGGCGTCTTCTGGTCCAACACCATGTGAGACGAGGCTCTAAAGAAAGCTGTCTCGGGTGTGGACCAATCAATTTCAAGGACAGTGCCAATACATTATCAGAGTTGTTGTTTTTTGTTTGCGTTCCGACCGCAGGTATTGTGGTCAATGTAAACATGACTCCTTGTAAAAAAAAGGTGTCAGTTTTGTTGCCAGATAAAAGGGTAAAAAAAAACAATTATCAACGGATAATACAGTCATGGAATGCCACTGTATCACTGACCCTCGACAAGTGAGGAGTGGCTAATAGTTCAACCAGAGCACTCGAAATGGTACGGTGTTTTAATTATTTTTCACGAACGCAGTTACTCCGTAAGTCAGATAATCCGCCCACGGATAATCGGGAGTTAACTCCACAAATGCTTGTGGGTCCAGCAGAGGGGTTAATGAGACTTTTCCAGCCACCACAGATGTGACAGACGCAATGGAAAGATGTCAGTAAGACTCTACTACAGTTTGAGAGGCAGGCTGCTAAAATTATATATTGGGATGGATTATCTTGCAAAAAAGCAATGTTCATAATGCACTCAAGTTTGTTTGAAAATACATTTCCAATTGTTATTATATTCATAACAAAGAAAATAGAAGCTGCGTTTTCAGGTGTAGTTATTGAAAGTGTGTTATTATTTTCTCCAGTAAATCTATTTTTGACACGAAGCTCTGCAATTCCCTACTTACAAATTCAACCACACGTGAACTGCAAGAGGTTAAAAGCATACTGAAATTGAAAGGTCATTAAGTATTTACGGCGATTTTTTCTCTCTCCAGAATAACATACTGCAGTATGTGAGCGCCTGAAATATATGGGAGCAGTGATGTCGAGGATGACATGTAAAATGCTCGAATGCCACGCACGTGCACGGCTGCATCAGGTTTTAGGGGATTTAGGGCTCGACGGTGCGGCAGCTTTCTGCGAATTGCCAAGTACGCAGAATTACTTTGTAAATTACATTATCCGCAGGCCATCAATAGATTAAACGTCGACACGCGCCACCGCCGCGCAAAGGAATCCAGACTGGGTGTTTTTTTTTCATTGGTATACATCCATTGGCACAAAATTGCAAAGCAATGAAGGAATTAAATGACAAACGTAATAACCTCCCTGATATTGATGGCCCATTCACTTTAATGAGTCGCAAACTGTCGTTCGTTTCTCAGCGTAACAGTGATGACTTTACGGGGTGTTTTTTTTTTTATAACCACACAGCTGCAGGTGCGTTCAAAGGATTATGGAACATTGTCTTGGATTTACATCCACCAAGAAGAAGCTCAGAATAGAAGTAGATGGATAAAAAATATATCTGAGCAGCCGAGCCCACGCAATAGCTGGGACTTGTGACTTAAAATAATAAGATCCCAGTTTGATGAAAAATAAGAATAGGTTTTACCCTTTCTGGCAATAAAACAGCTTCGACTGCAACACAAGCAGTAGAAACGTCGTGAGAATTGTATTGTTTTATATTTTTATTATTTTATTGTTTCCCTTCTACGTGACTTTACCGAAAGAACCAAGAATATGAATCCCTGCAGTCACAAAAGCTTTAAGTCAAAAAATAAAACAGCTATTAAGATGTTCAAACACCAACTAGATACATTTTGCAAGGCATCAAGTCTGGATTAACCACACAGATCCCAGTTGCCTGCAAAAGGGGGGGGGGCACCAGTTTTGGGCAACAATAAAACAACAACAAACACCGTTGCATCGCAAAGGACATCTGCTTAGTACGTCTAATGGTGAATTCTTGCACGCAAACACCCGTGAACAAATAGCGTGGTTACAGTACTTTTATTCAATGAGCAACTAGGTCGGGGGACAACTATACCTATCATCCCTTTTGGGGGGGGGGGGGCTGTAAAATGAGTACCGCTGTATGGTAAGTCAACAGTGGTCATCTAATTAATAAACTAAAAGTAAACCCAACTTAAATTTTACCTGGTAAGGCCCACTGAGCTATATAAATCTTTTTTTCAGAAGCGACCTGGCTATCACAAGCGAGAGCTCAATGTTGTTGTTGTTGTGACCTGTTGTACAACCCGTGTGAACACTAAAAATGCATTGAGCTCCAGTTTACGCAGTATACCCCTGGCATAAGTCTGATAATTATCTTTGTAATCTTCTATCTACAATGCTTACATCGCACATCCTGTGAGTTGTGCAATCAACAAATAAATAAATGGATTACTCTAAAAGTTATGACGTACTTTGCGTTGTTAGCATGGAAACAAGCGTGTTCCATGGGTAATATAGCTGCCGTATTTGTTTATAAATTGAAATGTTGAGCGTGTTCATTCATTAAACATATCGGGCTTCATGACACGAAGAGGAGAATGACGATATAACGATTTTTTTTTTTAAACTGACGATACAATTATTGTGCATCTCATATCGCACGCGATATCACAGTATCGCCATTTACGTGGTGACCTATAGTGAGGTTAGTCTGCAATCCCTGCGTTATTGGGTAATTATCTCAAACACCCCTTTGCTCTGGTACCTTGAGATGTACTGCATGGGAGGCGCACGATAAATGTTAAACAACGATGATGATGAACCCTCGACCAAGACAAATATCCCCGTGTAGCCTTAACAGACTGTTGGGGCAAGTGCTGTTAACAAGCACCCATGAAGGCCGGCACGGCACAGGGGGGGGGGGGGGGGTGGGTGGCCAGCACCACGCCCGGCCGCCTTTGTCTCCCCAGTGGCGATGTTTGCACACCGCACCATATACTCGTTCGAGGCTGAGTCGACCTAGGGGAGGCCCCAGGACTGGTTCTGATCACCGTTACTGGTATTGACCGTGAGCAGGAATTGAATGCAGGTCGTCGGGTTCGTAGCACAGTGCGCTTATTATTACACTACTGCACCGCACACGAACCCGAGAATGCACGCACGGTCGCACATCAAACTAACGACAAGCACAGCTCTCCCTCGGAAGCTGGGGTCTCACCAAAGCTGCAGCTTGACGCGACGCCCGTCGAGAAGAATGGTCGTCGTTTTGCAATCCACTCCTGTGTGTGGGCGAGAAAGCAACAAACTAAATTGTATTTTACGAGTCAAGTCCAAGTGCAGTGTTTATCTTGGTCAGGGGCTCTCTGAGCCATTGATGCACATTCCATGTTGCTATGGAAGGGTCCAGTGTGGAACAATACGAGTACCTTCACATCGAACCTCATGCGTGGGCCGATATTGCCATGTGTATCTCCTACTTAAAAAAAAAAACATTCTCTCCCGGTGAGTTTTCAATTGTAAATTGGGCCAGTATCATAGCAAGCATCCTGTGTGAAAACATCTCGATAACTTGCTAAATATCTGATGGATATGTGATAGGTCGATGAGAGATAACCATCATCTATCTGAATAGATTGTGAATTTCTGATTGTCAGCGTGGAACGTCTAGCTTCGAGTGTTGTTGCTACTAACGTGGCGGACATAACGTCAATCGATTCATGTTGCCACCTCCCTTATAACGTGTGTAAATTAGGTGTCACGCACGTTTGTGCCCTTGCATTATTAAGTACAAAAATAACCAGGCGCCTTAACTCATGACAGTGATTAAATTACATGGAAAATAAACGACTGCGTAGTTCAAGGGCAATGAGAGAGAGAACAAAGGTCAGTACTGGGCCCATTTGAGTTTTAATTTACATATTTCCCGTCCTTGGTCAATCCACTGCTGGATGAAGGCCTCCTCGTGCAATCTCTGGTCACTGGGGTTGTTTCAATATTGTACAGTACGTTCGAATATATGGGCCAGTTCATAAATGACTGGCCACTAATGTTAGCTATCGCCAGGAATCGAACCCTGGTTGCCAGGTTGAAACTGCAGTGCACTAACCACCGTGCCACGGCTCTAACGCCCGGGTTTGCATGAGCCAAGATTTAACAAAAATGACACCATGAACCCAGTCCTTTGAGTTTGATTTCCAGCTGCGGCTAACAAATAAGTGCTCTGCGATATCTAAACCGGTTATGTGCCTCCCATTCGCCAGCTCGTACTGACCACTGTGGTGAAGTATAGTCAACACACCCAAATGACTGAAAGGTGTGAGAAGGCCTTCATCCAGCAGTGGATTGGTAATGCAGTCTATTATAAGAATTGGGCACACGTATCCGATAAGTCATACTTCACGCAATGGGAGACCGACAAGTTTACAGACTCAAGCTATGCTGTAAGACAGCGCGTTTGACTACATACGGTGCGAAAGGAGTTCAATATAAGCTACATACATTGCCGTGTTGTCCGGATTATCACACCCGAACATTTTCTCCGGTATTTTAAAGCAAAAGGGCGGAGTGCGTCTTAAGATTCAGTACCCGTGTGGGTGTGTGTGGGGAGCGGTGGGGCAGCGGTCAGCGCACTGCGCAATGTACCCGGCGACCCGAGATGAATTCCCGCTCACGATCAATTTCCAGTGACGAATATTTGAACCGGTCCCAGGGCCTCCTCACGCTCGACTCGGCCTCCAATGCGTACCCGGTGCGGTGTGTAAACATCAGCGTTGGGGAGACAAAGGCGTCCGGACGTGGCGTTGACCACCCACCTCCTCGTTCGTGTGCCGTGCCGGCCTTAATAGGTGCTCGCTAACAACACTTTCCCCTGAAAGGTCCGTGAAAGGCTATACGGGGTGGGTGGTGTGGGTGGTGGGGGTGTCTTTGTCTTACGCGTGACATTCGCATAACTTTATTGAATCCGAGCACATGTTTTTTTTTGGGGGGGGGGGGGCGCCTCTTAACTCTCCTAAACATTTTACAATCCGGAGAATACGGCAAAACGAGCAGTTATGTCACAATCTCTCTGGTTCTTTCGGTAAAGTCGCGTAGATAAAAAATAATAAAAGAACACGACGTTTCGGTCGCAACACAAGCGTCCGTCATCAGGTGATGTTGTGGCTTTACATAGGCACGGGGACGGGGGTGGAGGGGGGGAACGCGTGTTTGGGGAGTCGTGGCTCCAGAAGTTCACTTTACCGACAGAACCAGAGAGTATGGTGGATTCCTGCAGTCACGAAAGCTTCAAATGAAGATTACGTCACAAAGTGACAGCGTAAAAAACACTCGCAGACGACAACAACCTCAACGCAGCCGTTTGGCCAAAGCGGCTGCCCCCCCCCGCCACGTGCTCATCCGCGGCGCGTGACGGGCGGCGTCGCGCGTGGGACCGGCCCCGTCACTCGTGGGACCGGCCCCGTCACGCGTGGGGCCGGCCCCGTCGCGCGTGGGACCGGCCCCGTCGCGCGTGGGACCGGCCCCGTCACGCGTAGGGCCGGCCCCGTCACTCGTGGGACCGGCCCCGTCACGCGTGGGGCCGGCCCCGTCACGCGAAGGAGGCGGCCCCGTGGAGGTTGCACGACGGCCGGGCCACCGGCGAACGTCTGCGGCGAGCGGTGTCGCTAGCGGCGGTCAAACGGATCGGTCATCGTCGTGATCTATGGACTCGACGAGGGGGGTGGGGCTGCGACGCGTGGTAGAATCGCGCATTGCGCTGATGGTGATGATGATGATGCGGACGATTCTGTGACTGATGATGATGATGCTGCTGCTCATGAAGCTTTACTTCGCATGATGGGTAACGACGTGTATGATGATGCTGTCAGCTGCCCCCAGTTGATGTGGGAGATGATTAACTACACATGACGATGCTGATAACGATCCTTCTGATTATGATAGTTCTGATTATTATCGACTTCAGGTTACACGATGCTGATGATATCGATATTGAGCGCATACATGCTGATGATTATTGACTATACATTACGATGATGCTGCCGGCAGGTGCTGAAGATTGAACAGCTATCGATGATGAATTCCTCAACACGATGCTGATGACTGACTACACATGGCGATCCCGTCGGCTCTGCTGTTGCTGATAATAACTATACGTAATCATGATGGACATAACTGTTGACTATACACGATGCTGCTGCTGATTGCCTATACACCAAAACATTATGATGATCAATGACTTATACATGATTGACGATGATGACCGTGATGCTGACGATGCTGTCGACATGATGCCAGCGCCTCTCACCCACGCCACTGCTGTAGTCTGGCCCGTGTTCTGGCGGCTGCTGCTGCTGTTGTTGCTGCTGTTGCTGATGCTGTTGCTGCTGTTGCTGATGCTGCTGCTGTAGCAGCTGCCGGGGGGTGCGGCTATGCTGCTGCCTGGGTGCTGCCCCCTTTTGCTCCCCCGCCTGCTCCTCGGGGCCGGCCAAGCTTGCCAGGATCTCGCCCTTGCCAACATCGCTGTCGCCGACCAGCAACACCTTGAGCAGGTAGTCAAACGCCTTGGCGGGGCTGCTCCGAGTGCCCATGACTCTCGCATCCTCGGCAGATGATGCTGAGGATGCTGCTGCTGATGATGCTGCTGCTGCAGCTGCAGCTTAAGCCCGGGATCGCAAGAGGGGGAGAGAAGAGGGGGAGAGAAGAGGGGGAGGTGCCCCGCTCAGCACCGCCCCCACTCCTCCTCTTCCTCGATATGATAAACATAGTAAACACGCAAACAATAGCCCTCCTTGCCCCTATTTGTGTCTCCACATAGAAAATAATAATGGATGGGGGAAAAAAGAGCTTCATAGCTCATCGAATTTGTCCATGATAAATATTGTGATTGTGATACACAGCCCTCTAGGAATTTTCAACAGAATTGGTTTTAATGCAAGTACACTGGGCCGATTTCGACTTTCTGCGTCTCATCAGCAACGTTAGGCTTGGTAAAACGAGATATGATGGTATGTTATTGTTACGTGTTATATACTTCTGCGTCGACCCATATCTTAAAGAGTGTGCTTATCTATACCGTACACACCTGGTAGTTCATCAGCATCATTAATTAGAGAAAAGCCTGGACTCTGCCGATAAGCCACTGCAAGTCGAAACCCGTCCAGAGTTCGCGTGTGTCCTGTCTACAGATGTCTACTGGACATCTGTAGAAAAAAAAGATTTGAATCTAATCGGATTGCCCCAGTATAAATAACGATTCTGCTTCTGCTCAATCAATGTCTCTGCCGAACCCGTGCACTCCGACAGAAGGAAGTATAATTTTCATTGCACACTTTCTTGAACTTGCCCTGTTTATATTATTTCAAATCGTTGACGTTTTAATATCTTCGGATCTACGAAGCCTAACGAGCTGAAAGTGTCTACACAGACTCATCTCGCGTGACATTTAAACATTTAATAAAAAAAAGCCGGTCCAGGTCCCGTCGATCGTGGGCCTATTCGTGTTTATTTAATAAAATTTTTTAAAACATTTATTCTGCACGTGGACTGACAGAGGGAGTGTGAACGATCGTGTGATTGATGTGAGAATAGGTTTTTCCCCTTTTTCTGGAAACAAAACATGTATTAAGATTTTGATTTAAAGCTTTCGTGACTGCAGGGATTCATATTCTTGGTTCTTTCGGTAAAGTCATGTAGAAGGGAAACAATAAAATAATAAAAATATTATTTTATTAAAATAATAAAATATTATTTTATTGTTTCCCTTCTACGTGACTTTACCGAAAGAACCAAAGAAGAAGAAGAATATAGGTGTTTAGATGTTAAAACACCAAACTGAAACCTTTTACAAGGAATCATATCTGCATTAACCACAATGCTTGTGGTCAGCATGCAAACAACAAAAATACTCTGATAATATATTGGCATTGTCTTTGAAACTGATTGGTCTCCACCAGAGACAGCTTTCTTTTGAGCCTCGTCTCAAACGGTGTTAGACCAGAGGACGCCAAAAGGCGTACAGCACAAAGACAATGCCACTATCAGAGTAATGAGAGCTCGGGGTTTTGTTGCCAAAAAGAAAGGGGGAAAACCTATTATCATATTTTGGTACTGCCAAAGCAGATCCCATGATGTAGATGCTCGCACCCGAGATGATGATTGCTTGCGTTGCGATCGAAACGTCGTGACCTATTATTATTTTTTCTACCTACGTGACTTTACCGAAAGAACCAAAGAGTATCTTAACACCTGTTTTGTTACCAGAAAAAAGGGGGAAAACCTATTATTATATTTTGGTACTGGCAAAGAAGATCCCATGATGATCGCGTGATTATTTTTATGAAGGGGGGGGGGGCAGTGATTGACCCCGCCCACATCCGATGATAGCCCCGCCTGTACACGAGAAGACGGCGCTCACATTCGCGGTGGTCCCACCCACATCCGGCGCCAGCCCCGCCCCCGCCCATACGTGGCAAGCCCCCCCCCCGCATCCTCACCAATAGAAGCACGCACTCTCGCTGACCCCGCCCACATGCGGCAAGACCCAATCCACTCTCCACCCCCCCCGCATTCCACCAATAGGAGCGCGCGCTTTCGCTGGGCTCGCCCACATCTGGTGTAAACCCCGCCTCCCTTCCCCCATTCGGCAAGACCACGCCCCCACCCCGGCGCCGCTGTATAAAAGGCCGCGCCCGCATGTGATCCGCCCTCTTTCCCGAAGCTTCGCGGGGCCATCTGTCGCAGGCAGGCTGGTGCGGGGCTGCACACGCACGTGGCCGCACTGTACCGCACGTGGCGCAAGGTATTACGATTAGACCGCGCGCAGTTTTGCAAGGTGGTTGTGATAATAATATCGTGAACATGCGGTACTCGGTAACGCCGCGTATCGGTGGAGGCTTTTGAAAGGTCGCTTGGATACGCGCGGTCTTAACGGGTTTACTATATGTGGTGCTTAAGTGCAGGTGGTGGTTAGACGCGCGTTGAACCCGGCGAACCGAGTTCGCTGCGCAACCGCGGCTCTTACCGTGTGGGTGGCGAGTGGTACGAAACGATCCTGGGGGCCCTCCGTCATACCCCGTACTGCGTAGCGTGGCTGAGGTGTGGGCGTAGATTCCTCAGAACCAATACGGCGGCCGCAACACACGCATGTGTATCCTGAACGGAGTTGTAGGCCTCAAGCGTGATACCGAGTGAAACGTGAACTGTAATGTAATTAAGCGAGCTGGAGTGGACGAGATGACGAATCGCGGTCGGTAGCGCGATTTGTGATTACGCAGATTAACGTTTGCCATGTGACCATTGGATTGGAAATTAAGGCGTTGGCCTAAGCGTCGATATAAAAAATCAACATCGGTTAATCGTTTAGCTTTGCTCTTAACAGTGCATTTTAACCAAACCCATTACACTTCAACAAGTTCAAAGCAAGCCCTTGGACTATTACAAACACCGACCCCTAGCGGTTACCCATCTGTGAAAAAGCGCGCTGCAGTGGCTGCACGTGGTCTGTGGCCATCTACTGTACATTTATTCCGCAACACGTGTGGCAAGTGCACTAGTCGGGGTTATTACAATTTAAAGAATTAGCTGTACCCAGCACTAATATCGCATCTTGGGACAGCAGTTTTATTGCTGGTCAGTGCAGGTTGGTGAAGAATCTGATTACACCACGTTCCAAATAAAGATTTAAAGGAAACGGGCGTTTCGAACCCTCGGTGTGTGCAGCGAGACACCGCACATCCACAAAGCGGATGAGGGGTCTCACCAAGCGTGCAGGACCGGTGGTGTCGAGAAGTCAACAGCGGTAGAATCCAAATTGTCCCATGCCAGGTCGTCAGTGAAGGGAATTGGTGCGTGCCGAGGGGATCCGGCGGGTTGCTCCCGTCGGCTCTCCCCGAGTGGCGTTATGGGAGCGCCGAGTCCTCGCGGCTCCGTGGCGTCTGGTCCCGTTCCACGTCGGCACAGAGAAACGTCGCCCCCGCTCCCCCGCCTGCTCGCGAGGGAGTGGTGCGGGCGACCCTCCTGTATATTCCTACGACTCCCCCAGCCCCTGGGCTCTGACAGTGGAGACAAACCATGCAGGAGACAGATTCTCGAACTAACCCCCGGGAGATGGCGCAGCCTCTGATTTGCTTATGGGAAAATGAAATTAAAATGTTAAGTCTGCGGTGAAACGGGACTGGCTTAGAAAGTGTATTGGCAGCACAAGGGTGGTTGATTTTTGAATGCGTCTTCAATTAACCATTGTCCCGGTGGTAACGATTATGCACAATACAGATGTCGAATTAGTTAAAGTCGCAATATTTTTTCACATTAATTTTGATCGAAGGCTTTAGGCGGGTGAGACACGATAAAATATTTACACAAACATGTTTTTATCGATCTAGCTTAAGGTAAAGGCGCTGGACTGCAATCATGCCACTGCTGGTCGAAAGGTTTCCAGTGGAGGAAGTTCTAGTTTTTTTACTTGCATGATTAATTCTCTCGAATGCCATTGTAAAGCTACATTTCTCTGCTAAGTTACTGCGTATTCACTTATTTCTCTCAAATTTTTAATACCAACGTGTTTGTTAATTTGCTGGTAGATGAGACGGATCGAAAGAAAACTAGCATAAATATTGCTTGCCAACTTGCGACCTATTGTAATTTTGGAAAGGTAGTGAAGTGTGCCGATGCTGAACATTACGACTAATTGGAATGGGAAAACTGGTATAACATGTAATTATACTTGTGTGCAATTGAGCATATATTCGATGTGATGCAGACTTGAGAATGTCTAGCTCAACTGGTGATTCTTCTTTCCAGATGGCTTGCTCCATAGGACGTTTTATCAAGGATTCGTGTGGGTCAGGTCGCCGTGATCAACACCACATGGCATCTATAGCAGTTTGTGACGACCAAGGGTGAAAAGAACACGAGGTATGATTCAAAAACGGAATCTGGTGGTACATTGCTGTCTCGGATTGGTACATTGTGGCAGACACTGGCTGGATGTGTGGCTACATTTAGTGACTGAAACTTGAGTATTGATTTATCGTTTGGTCTTGTGTGGTCATTCAAATACAGGAGTAGAAATTTAGTGCGGTAGGCAGAGAATATCAGTTGGCATCAGCTTTTGAATTTCCAACTTTGAGTCATTGGTAAATGCTGCAGGAACACTTTTTTTTTGTCTGTTAGATCAGTTGGTACCAGTGGCTAAATCACCAATTATTTTTACCAGATTGTAAATAGACTAAACCTTTGCTGTGCAGTGAGTCAACCACGTGCAATGTGGTGTCACGCATGCAGACTGCGCGGGTCGGGAAATAGATTGCAATAGAATCCAAATTGCTCGTGCCTGGTCCGATGGTTCAGTATTAGCGCGGTGCAGCCGGTCGCGTTGTTGATTGGTGCGTGCCGAGGGGATCCGGCGGGTTGCTCCCGGCGGCTCTCCCCGAGTGGCGTTATGGGAGCGCCGAGTCGTCGCGGCTCCGTGGCGTCTGGTCCCGTTCCACGTCGGCACAGAGAAACGTCGCCCCCGCTCCCCCGCCTGCTCGCGAGGGAGTGGTGCGGGCGACCCTCCTGTATATTCCTACGACTCCCCCAGCCCCTGGGCTCTGACAGTGGAGACAAACCATGCAGGAGACAAATTCTAACCAATCCTGAGATGCAGTACTACAGCGCAGCCTCGAATTCGGTAGGGAAAATTTGTATGCGATCCAGTCAGTGGTTGAATGAGACTGGATTATATTTAAGTATGTTGCAGAGTGGAAATTGTAAACCTGACTTGGAATTCATATTGACAAATTCTGATACTTTATCTGACTCGAATGGAAGAGTAGTCCAAGATTGCCTTGATGGCCTACTCTTGAGCTCCCTCTGTGGTGGCCCTTGTTCCAACAGTAGTAGAGTGAGGAAACGATTACCCATTTGAAAGTTCTTTGCGTGACAGAATTTGACATTTCGGTCCTTAATTTGCAAATGCAACTGTTGAATTTAAAACTTGGCTTTGTGTTCATTTTTATTTTGTTTTTCTGCATCAGCACACCTGAGCTGTCTTGACTTGCTGTCCATGGATGTTCACCCTGGGCATCTGCTGAGAACCATGGCAGGCGAGGCATTGACGGGTGAGAATATGTAGCCTGGGTTTCTGGGTTTTTTCAAGGGCCCTCGAACATGATTACAGCCAGGGGGCAAGGCTTGATCAGCGCTCGTTATATTGTGGTTTATGGATGTGGTATTTTGACAGTATTTTTACCAGGTGGTATTGGGTTGCATTATGAGCAGTACCTATTCTGAAAGGGCAAGACAAAGCTGAGCTGGCATTGTCATTTGTGTTGCAGGTGAGAGGCATCTTGGAATTGAATCGGATTATTGGGTTATAATACAGCCTTTTGTGTAATTGCATTTCTGGATTGAAGGCCTCCCCCATGCCATGTGGGTTATTGGACCATACTTCACCCATGCTGGTCAGTGTAAGTTGGTGAATAATCTGATTACACAAGATTACGAATATAGACAAAGGAGAAGGGAGTTTCAAAGCCTTGGTGTGCACAGACACCGCACACATAATGCGAATGAATATTCCCACCAAGCATGCAGACCGTGTCTAGAAATCAACAGCGGTAAAATACAAATTGCTCATGCCTAGTTGGCAGTTCAGTATTAGGGCTGTGCAGCCGGTCGCGTTGATGGTGCGTGCCGAGGGGATCCGGCGGGTTGCTCCCGCCGGCTCTCCCCGAGTGGCGTTATGGGAGCGCCGAGTCGTCGCGGCTCCGTGGCGTCTGGTCCCGTTCCACGTCGGCACAGAGAAACGTCGCCCCCGCTCCCCCGCTCGCGAGGGAGTGGTGCGGGCGACCCTCCTGTATATTCCTACGACTCCCCCAGCCCCTGGGCTCTGACAGTGGAGACAAACCATGCAGGAGACATTCTAACCAATCCCGAGATGCAGTACTACAGCGCAGCCTTGCATTCCGTAGGGAAAATGACAATGCGTTCAGTCAGTGGTGAATGAGACACTGGATTATTTTAAAGTATGTTGCAGAATAGAAATTGTAAACCTGACTTGGAATTAATGTTAACATTCTGATACTATTGCTCGCAAGTATGGAAGAGTAGTCCAAGATCGCCTCTGGTATTTTCTTGAGCTCCCTCTAGCGGGGAGGCCCTTGTTCCAACAGTGGAGTGAGGAATTTACGTTGAACTTTCGTTTTTGAATTTGCAAATGCAGCTGCCGAATTTAACTTGGTTTTGTGTGTTAATTTTGAGTTTTTGTTTTTCCGCATCAGCACACCTGGCCTCGACTTGCTGTCCACGGATGTTCACCCTGGGCCATCTGCTGAGAACGACGATAGGAGGCACTGATTGGTGAGCATACATACGTAGCCTGGGTTTCTGAGGTTTTTTCAAAGGCCCTCAAGCATGGTTACAGCCAAGGGGGCAAGGCTTGATCAGGGGTCGTTATATAGTTGGATGTGTTATTTTGACGGTCTTTTTTACCGGGCAGTTTTGGTTGCATTGTGAGCAAGTACTATTCTGTAAGGGCACGACCACACTTGAATTTGTCCCAGTGCAGGAAATGCAGTCATTTGGTTTGATGCACCGCGAGTGAAACAAAATCTCTAAGAGCTGTAAGGCCACAAGGTGGCAACAGAGCTGGCATTGCCGTTCGTGTATCAGGTGAGTGGCATCTTGGAATTGATGCTGATGATTGGATTTACAGCCTTTTTATAATTAAATTTCTGGCTGAAGACCTCGCCCATGCCATTCGGGGGTAGTCGGGGTTATTTGACCATACTTCACCCATGCTCGTCAGCGTGGGTAATTGAAGAATCTGATTACACACGATTCTAAATATAGATTGAAAGGAGAAGGGAGTTTGGAAGCCTTGGTGTGCAGCGAGACACCGCACATCCACAAGTGGATGAGGATTCCCACCAAGCATGCGGACTGGTGTCTAGAAATCAACAGCGGTAGAATCCAAATTGTTCCGTGCCAGATCGGCAGTGAAGGGAATCGGCGTTGTTGATTGGTGCGTGCCGAGGGGATCCGGCGGGTTGCTCCCACCGGCTCTCCCCGAGTGGCGTTATGGGAGCGCCGAGTCGTCGCGGCTCCGTGGCGTCTGGTCCCGTTCCACGTCGGCACAGAGAAACGTCGCCCCCGCTCTCCCGCTCGCGAGGGAGTGGTGCGGGCGACCCTCCTGTATATTCCTACGACTCCCCCAGCCCCTGGGCTCTGACAGTGGAGACAAACCATGCAGGAGACAGATTCTTTGACCAATCCCGAGATGCCTATAGCACAGCCTCTCATTGCGTATGAATGTGAAACATTTCTTCCCACGTTACTTGGCTCACCAAAATGATACTGAAATCTTAACTGTTAGTTAAATTGCTTGAATTATTGTTTTTAGCGTTAAGGGATAATTCTTACCAAAAGGAATATCGGACTTTTGGAATTATGACAACTACAAGTTCAGTGGTGAATGGAGCATTGGCAGTTTGAAACTCATTTTCACCCCGAGGAGAGAAGCTGAAAGACAAGGCCATGCAATTCATGTTTATTGCAGTTGGGTACCCTCTGTTCCATGCTTGTGTGGTCTCTGGTTGCTGATGGTTTTTCCAATATTCACGAAATGTCCCATCTGTAGGTGCTGGTGGTGACGTGGCGCTGCACGCATACGAGATGGGAGCACTTGGAATAATACACGAATGTATTGTTACAATGTCTAGCAATTAATCAACAAGAGCGCTGTTATTGTTCTTTGGTTTACAAACGTGTTTTGTGTTTAAACATTTTTAAATAAATATTTTATGTTTTGAGCATTTGAGTGGTACAGCATTGCTTTTTTCTGCAAACCTGTAATTTCTGAAAAATGTCGTGTAAACTGCATTGGGACACTTTTTCAAATCGTTTGTTTAATTGTACATAACTGCTCACGAACCATTTTGTAACCTATCCATGTTGACCAATTATAATGATCAGTGGGGTTGGGTGTTTTGCAGTGAAGGTTAATGTAATTTGGTATTACAAATGCAATTGAAAGAATGAAAACATGCTTCAAAGGTTACCCGTGGTGTTCTTCGCCGATGGTGATTCCAATCTGGGCATGTGAATTCCACGTTCCTTTGACCCCCAGGGCCAGCCCTAAACAGTATGATGCAAGCCACTTTTTTCCATGCAGTTAAACGTAAAACACTTTTAACGTCCATATTTTAAGCTTTGTTGTGGCAAGTAGAATATTTTCAGGGTATAAGCAAAAAGGCTGCGTTGCTCTGCTTGATGGTTGTGTAGAGAGTATCCTTAGTTCTTTCGGTAAAGTCGCGTAGAAGGGAAACGATCAAATAATAAAAATATAAAACAATTAAATTCTCTCGTTTCGACTGCAACACAAGCAATCAATCAACCTGATCAATCACCTGAAGATTGCTTGTGTTGCAGTCGAAACGTGAGACTTTAATTGTTTTATATTTTTATTATTTTATTTCCCTTCTACGTGACTACTGAAAGAACCAAGAATATGAATCCCTGTAGTCACAAAAGCTTTAAATCAAAATTTAGAGCGATCGTGTAACAGTTAACGTGCTGTGCTACGAACCCGGCGACCGGAGTTTGATTCCCGCTCACGGCCAACACCAGGTGAGGATTACTTGAACCGTTTCTGGACCTACCCTGGGTAGACTCGGCCTCGAATGAGTACCTGGTGTGTGTAGACGTCACTAGGAAGACAAAGGTGGTCAGGTGTGGTGCTGGGCCACTTGCCCACTTCGTGTGCCGTTTTGGCCTTCATAGGTGCTTGCTGACAGCACTTGCCCTTAACAGTTTAAGACTATCCACGGGATAGTTGCATAAGGTACCTTTGCAACCCTTGGATGTGGCCCGTTGGGAATGTATTTAAAGCGTTTTCCAAGCTTCCTTGCATCCTACCAACCCAGTACGTAAACCTTTGGGGTTCTCTTCCGTAAGGTCCAACGGGTTCAGCCACGTGCCAACGGTTATAGTTTATGGGAAGCTACATTCGAGTTGACTCATTTGGCCACTGTTCAAACACAATTTAGGTTAGATGTCCCACGTCCGACTGCATATAGCGATTTTTGGCTAAAAATAGGTTTCTAGATTTAAAGCTTTCGTGACTGCAAGGATCCATGCTCTTTGGTTCTATTCGGTAAAGTCACGTAGGTAAAAAATAAAACAAAAATCACGACGTTTCGGCCACACAAGCGGCCTTCATCAGGTGAAGGGATCAGGCTGTCTCGAGGACAGCGCTGGAGTGGAACACAACCACGCTCAGACGGCGACCTTTAAGCTGCGTGCGAGGAAACAAGGTGCCTTGACAAAGGAATTAGCATAGAAATTAGCATTTGATTGGCCGACTTAGCATAGAGGTGTACATGTGGGTGCACATGCCGGTTGGTGTGGTGGGGGGGAGGGGGAGTTCCCCTATTGATGGTGTAAAAAGCGAATTTAAGAGCTGCGAAAGTTTGGGGTACCACTGCTTGAAAAATATACTGTACCATTGAAAATTAGTTTAATGTTTGGTTCGATTTAGAACATCTTTCCAATGGTTGCTTAATTTGAAACCATCTCGGTTGAAATTGTCTGTGCTTGTAGATCTGAATTGCCTCGTGAACAAATCTGATAACAACCCGTGGGTTTGCAAAGAACCTTGGTATCGGAGAAAATTATATCGTGATCAGCCACAGTGATAAAAACCAACAAGATCATCACAAGTTCGACCTCCCTAATCGACCCAACTAAACGTCCCTCCCTACAACCTGCTGCAAGACCCCCTAGATTCTATGGTCTTCCCAAGATTCATAAAGAAGGCACCCCACTACGATCCATCGTATCCACGATCAACTCCCCTACCTATAGACTGGCCCGTTTTCTGTCATGCCTTGCTGCCTTTCACTGGCAAGACCGCCTCAGCAGTACTTAACTCAGCCCAATTGGTCTCTATGGTAAAAGACGTACTGTCCCCTGACGATATCCTTGTCAGCTTCGATGTGGTCTCTTTGTTCACCAAGGTCCCAGTGCCTGATACCAGTGAAATAATTGAAAATTTGGTCCAACATGGATTAGACCCCGATCAATTCCAGACATCCCGCCATCAAATTCACCATGGAGGTGGAGAAAGATTGCAAGCTACCATTCTTGGATGTTCTGTTTGAGAGGAGACCTGATGGCTCATTGGGGCATTCTGTCTACAGGAAACCCACCCACGTGGATTCCTACTTGAAGCCTGATTCCCACCACCACCCAGCCCAGAAGAATTCTCTTATCAAAACTTTATACCATAGGGCTCATTGCATTTCGGACCAACACCACCTGACCAGTGAATTAAAACATGTACACCTGGCCCTCAAAAGGAATGGATACTCTGACCGTACCATCCGCCAAGCTGTTTCTCCCTCCATACAGAAACAACCACTTGATACTCCGGTCAAAATCATCACACTACCATATATAGCAGGCGTTACTAAAATGATTTCCAAAATTCTAAACAAACACAAGATCCAGGTCCGGTTCAATACAGTACACAAAATTCGTGATCTGATCCCATCCGTGAAGGATGTCATTCCTGACTTACAGTACCCCGGGGTTTACAAATTGAGTTGTACCTGCGGTCATTGCTATATCGGGGAGACAAAGCGACATGTCTCTGACCGAATTCGCGAGCACAAATCAGATTTGAAACACGGCAAAACGAATTCTTCTGCCGTAGCTGATCATTGTTACAACGCTGTGGGTGATCACGATATAATTTTCTCCGATACCAAGGTTCTTTGCAAACCCACGGGTTTTTATCAGAGATTTGTTCACGAGGCAATTCAGATCTACAAGCACAGATACAATTTCAACCGAGAAGATGGTTTCAAATTAAGCAACCATTGGAAAGATGTTCTAAATCGAACCAAACATTAAACTAATTTTCGATGGTACAGTATATTTTTCAAGTAGTGGTACCCCAAACTTTAGCAGCTCTTAAATTCCCCTTTTCACACCATCAATAAGTAAACTCCCCCTCCCCCCCACCGCGCCAACCGGCATGTTCACCCGCACGTACACCACCTCTATGCTTAGTCGGCCAATCAAATGCTAATTTTTATGCTAATTCCTTTGTCAAGGCACCTTGTTTCCTCGCACACAGCTTAAAGGTCGCTGTCTGAGCGTGGCTGTGTTCCACTCCAGCGCTGTCCTCGAGACAGCCTGATCCCTTCACCTGATGAAAGCCGCTTGTGTTGTGGCCGAAACGTGATTTTTGTTGTTTTATTTTTTACCTACGTGACTTTACCGAATAGAACCAAAGAGTATAAAAATAGGTTTGCCGCGTGCACGTGAAATTGCACAAACTTAACCTGCATAAAGCAAGGGGAAATATATGTACACAATACTTTTGCCTTGTGCTCTTGAGTAACCGAATGGAAGTTTGAAAGCCAAACATTCCCCTTTTGATATCATTAATAAAAGTTGTGCAGGTGACGCGGGCGCCAGAGGGCGCTAAAGTTAACGCAATGTCAAAATCTCTAAACCTGAGATCGTTTAACCCCCTAAATAATAAATACACGTGCAATGAAATGAGGTAATGCCATTCCAGTGCTTTGAGCTTGGCGGGTTTATAAAAGTTATTTTGATGACCCCCGTGTTGTGTTCCCATTACAAGTCGAAATGTGTATCTGCATTGTCGCTTCCTCTGACCATCGGATGACATCGCTGACCCGCAAAATTAGCAATCCATACAGTCGCTGATGGCATCGGTAGAAACCTACGCGTGCGAGTTTAATCATCAAATTACCATGAGATCAATAGCAAGTTTATGATGAAATAAGGTGTAACGCGAGTACGACGGAGTGGCTATACATTCGATTAACCGCCACGCATATAAACCCGGTCACCCCCGAGTTCGATTTCCGGTCACGGCGAGCATTGTTGGTGATATCAGAGCAAGAACTTGCTTGGTGAAGTATGGATAACCCTCTCAACCTATGTGTGGTATTCGAACGACCATCCAGTAATCTATTGACAAGAGTTACACTTGTTTTATGTAATTGCAATTAGGAGTTGGGAATGCTCGGTGGTAATCAGTCTACAACCCAGTGTGTTTCAGTAAGGTAACAATATTAATTGGTTCAGTCTGCCAATGCACACGTGACTAAAGTCACATCTTGCATTTCAACTATGAAGATTAAGTTTAATTTCGACCGTATATTTGAAATGTATTAAAAAAAAATCGCTTACATGCAATGTATAACGAGTTTGAACAATCAATATCAATCAGTCGAAGCATCGTTACGCGTCTGTTAACTTCTCGCAAAGTGTTAGCCACTTCTTCGTCGACCCAATAAGGCTGATGTACTGATTCGACCCCTGAACAGGTTTCAAATTCACCGCTTTGCCGACAAAGAGGCCCTGTTCCCATAACTGCATCACGTTATTGCGTGATCCACTCTCAGTGACTTCATTAACTAACGATAGAAACCAGATAGAGGTGCAGCCCTGCAAGTCCTTTATCACGCCACTGCTGGTGGAAAGGCGCTTCTAGCCGGGTGTTTGGCCTACTCTTCCCCACGCTGACCAGACGTCTTGGAAAGGGATGGAATGATGGCGATGAGTACCGTACTGCCTTACCATATTTTCCATCACCTAGGGGGAACACGTCTGAACAAGACACCACCCGCCCCCAGCACCCCCCGGGCTGCGCCTTGGGAACAATAAAGTTGAGCTGCAAAATGATTTAATTAACTGACAGAGCCGGGGCTTGCACGGAAAGATGGGGAGTTTGGGCAAGGCTGCAGGGCGCCGTGGGCACCTTTCAGATTTAATTATGCCTGCTTTTCACTGATCGCGTGGTATTAAGTGACCGTGGCTCGGTCGCGGGGGCCTTGGTTCTGAGGTTACACTTTTGAATGGGGCTGCCTGTAATGACATTGACTAATGGGCACGGCCAGCGGATGGGAAATTGAATTTCAGAGCGCGTTGTTACTCACGGCTCGGTTATTGCTAACCAGTCTGACGGGAGTCTTCGCGCTCTGGGCGAAAGAGTTTGGCTGTGAGCCTTAAGTTTGCGGTGTTTATGGGAGCGTGATGCAAACGGTGCACACTTGGTCAGGCCTTGAAGACAGCCAGGGGCCCGCACTGTGTCGTGATTGAATGAGCCGTGCTATTTCGCTGCTTTAAAGTGCTCGTGGTGTAATTATCCAGTCAAGAACTTTGGCATGCATGGTAGGATTGCGGCGATCCCAGTCCATGCGTGGGGGTTGTGGGCTCTCATCTTATGTGCCTTACAGGTTCGTTGTTTACGCGGATATTTTAATTATCAGTACACAGATTCGGTGGGGTTTATTTCGAGAAACAAAAAAAATTAGGCGGATTATTTTCTAATCTTCATTAATGCAAAACGTGCGTTTACAGGACGTGCACATTGAAATTGAAGTGAAATGTTCACATCTTGATGCTAAATCAATCGTAAGTTTATTTAGGCTACCATCGTCTGATCCCTTGAACCTTGGGCATGAATATTTAGCCCCGAGAATAATGCTCATCTTCCAGAGTAACATCCGAGGCAGTCATTTGGCCCGGAGACCCAGGCATGCACAGAGAAGCCCAGACGTCGGTCATGAGCAATCACGAGGAGGGGGCATTGGGAAACAAAAGTTGCCGTTTTTTGTGACGTAAAACAATTCAAAGTGATGTCCTGCACATATTGTGTCTACAGCCCTGATACAGTGGCATACATTCCACATTCATATGGCAGGGGTGAGTCTATCCACAAAGACAGCCACTCGATTTACCCCTCAAATGGGGATACTCGTTTAATCAACCCTAGAGAGATGATGGGTTGAGTCACCCCTCCCCGCCCCCCCCGTAATTTGAACTTGTAACCTTCGGATTGCGAGTCACTCAATCTATGGCTGAGCCACATGTCCAGTGTTGTGTTGTTAGAGATTCCGCCTCAAGGCGCAAGTTTTCACTTTCGCTCTTTGGTTTTCTAAAGTACCTTCGACTGTGCTCTTCGTCTTTCCTCCCCTTGGCCAACGGCTTATTCACGATTTGCGGTGTTAGAGCGCCTTGGGTACCTTGTGGAAAGGCGCTTTATAGTTATAATTAATATTAAAATTGAAAGATATCTTATCATCACCACGCTACGATCGTTGTATTGCACGATGTTGTATTCACCATCAAACTAAAGTACGATTGATTCGTTGAAATACATTTCCGTCATCGTCGTGCTCATATTGTATCGAGAGGCGTTTGCTCCGTTGTTCTGCTTTTGAGTCAAGAACGAAAAGCAGAACACGGATGAGCCCCTGAGAACACGGATGAGCCCCTGAGAACACGGCCGCCTGCCTGTGTACGCGGCGGTGGTAATAAGGCTCGTGAAGGACGCTGCTGGGCAAGAACAGCGAAGAGGGCAGAGGAACGACGCTCACAACAACGAGCGGAGCGCCGGACGGATAATAACTCAGTAAGTGAAACTAGATTTAACTTTTTTTTTATTTTACCAAGTAAGGCCAACTGAGATATATATCTCTTTTGCGGAAGCGACTTGGCCACAGATGATAGCTCAACGAAGTGGCTTATCATGTGCAAATTTATAGCAACCAAATACTCTAAACAGATTTTAATAATCAAGTAGGGGGCACAGCTGGTGCGTTATCTCAGTCAGTCAACCTATGGCACCCGGGTCTGTCCCGTGATCTCCTTGCCAGCGAGCCTCTCTGACACTTCACGTGGCCTCAAAGTGCACCTTGCCTGGCACAATCGCCGTGGTGGGTGACGTCACCGCCACTTAGTGGCGAACGTCGGCTGTTGTTGTTGCTGTTGTGGGGAAAAGATGACAATCACAAACTTCGGAGAACATGAAATGGGAGGAGTGAATAAAAGGAAGAAAACGGACGAGGTCTTTGCCCCAGCAGTGGGAGGTTACTGGCTGAAAGTTTTGCAACAACAAATGACATCACTCTGGCGAAATGTTTCAGCAATGTTTAATTATATAACTTACCACAAATAAACAAGCCTCTCTTTTTTTCAAATTTTCTTGCTGTGGTTTTCACACCTGATGATGATTGCTTGTGTTGCAGTCGAAACGTCGTGATAATTTTATTGTTTTATATTATTATTTTATTGTTTCCCTTCTACGTGACTTTACCGAAAGAACCAAGAATATAAACAAAGCATTCACGTTAATGTCATACACCCTTACAAACAATATCAGTAAACATTCGTGAGGATAACGCACTATTATTGTTACAAGTACAATGTTGTTTATCGTCGTAGTCGTCATCACTGTTGTCATTGTTGTCATCATCATTGTTGTCATCTCAACAATGATGACAGCAATCATCATTGTTGTCATTGTCATTGTTGTAAACCCGAAAAAAGGGTAGTCTTTCCCAAAAATCTGCGATACGATACGGTACTGTGCCGTACAAGTTTATGTGATGTTCAAGGTAATGGACAGATTGGAAATATAAATTTCAAAAAATTACTGTTCTACTGTTAACGTGATAAGTGACACGTGACACTCAGACTCGCTCGGGATACCGACAGATGGACTGGGACATGTTGTGTGCTTCCTGTTTTTTTAAAAATCTGCGGTTGCTGAGCAAAGGCCCTAACATTTCTAAAGTGTCTAGCGGCCAGCAACAAACAGCCCTCATGACTGCATAATAGATAGGAGTGAAATACGTTTCTTTAAGTGAACTTGGGAAGAGGAGGGGAATACCATGGGAGGCAATTTCCGATTCCGAACTTGATCAGCGCGATGAATGATAGCGGCAAGGGAAATGTCAATTCAGTACAGGACATGGAAACATAGAATTGAAGAGGAAAGTGGCCGATGGTGGTGGTTGTGGTGGCGATGATGGGATGGGACTGTTTACACCGCCTCCCTAAGAAAGACGTTATACAAGTACCCCGTAGTGACACAAAGATCCCCCGTGTAGCCTTTGACAGAAAGTTGGGGAAAACGCTGTTAGCGAGGGAGCACCCTATGAAGGCCGACGCGGCACACGGGGCGGGGGGGGGGGATGGGTGGCCAGCACCACGCCCGGTTACCTTTGTCTCCCTCCGTGGCGATGTTTGCACACAGCACCAGGTACTCTTCATTCGAGGCTGAGTCGACCTATTTATACTGTACACACACATCTGCACTGTCACAAAATACTGCACTCCCACTTTTGTTATCTTATAAAAAAAACCCTTTACAGCTCGTGACCGTTTGCGTCTCTTTTGATTTAAAATGAAAACAAATCATCGAGAGGACTCGCGCGGGAAGCAAATGGCATTCCGCTGTGCGTCGCAATCTGCCCGCTGAGGATGCTTCTTACGTTTGCAATAATAGAAGCAGAGACTCGTGCAAACGGCACGCTGTCGCGGTTATCTTAATTGCACGGACAAGCATCGTTCAGGCGAGACGGTAAAACGGCTGTGAAACTTACGGGGTGCCACGGTGGAGGGATGTTAACTACCTCGCCGGGTATACAGGAGGTCGTGGGTTCGGCCCCGGCCCTGACGCCTGCACGTTTTGGAGTTTGCGTGTTCTCTCCGTGGTCGTGTGGATTTTTTTCCAGGTCCTCCGGTTTTTCCCTCCACATGCAGAATCAACACGCTGTTTAGAGTTTTGGGCTGCTGCTAGACATTTCCACGCGATAAGCCATTTCTCGCCAAGCTATCATTTGTGGCCAGATCGCTCCTGAAAAAGAGCTATATAGCTCAGTGGGCCTTTGCCTGGAAAACTAAAAATAGTTTTTAGTTGTTCAAGAGGATGGAATCGTGACATCTTATCAAATGTCTGGAGGGTTAGGTAGGATGGGTAAATTGTCGTCTTACCTGATAATTGCCCTTTTGGCATGCACGATGTCTGTTTTTTTATCTTCCGCCCCCGACGTCAACTTCAGTTCTCAGAAACGATGACGCGAGGCCTGTAATTGACTGTCACTTAGAAAGCACGATTGGAATAACAAGGGGGAGTTTAGGTCGGGTACTCTTACAGTCTTACGCGCAGATTTACAATCCGTTTATACACCATGCAGTCGGGGACCGTGATTGTATCTGTTACACAGATAAACTCCTTTTGTCCACGTCCTGATTTTCCACACACCAAAAATATATTCTCACAAAACTCGCGATATCTGGATCAACCCTTTGCACAAATAAGAGCGGTGAACCGGAAGAATCGGGAACATTTTTCCCATGATCCGAACCTTTGCACAGATCTGAGTAGTGACCCACAAGTGGCAGCAAATGCCATCCTATTACATTTCCAGCTGTTGGCTCAAATGTTTGGATCGGGTGGTTGCTGGCAACACAGTGGGTGCAAGGGTGGGGGGGGGGGGGAGGCCTCGGGGATGAGGATGGCCCCTCGTGTCTAACTATGGCTGTGCAATGCAGGAGTGATTACCCATTATTGTGCTATGAACCTGACTACCCGACTTTCACACATGGTCACGGCTAACATCAGTGGCGAGTGATATCTAAATTGGCCCGGGTCCCACCCCTTTCAACAACACACACTGCCCAGCGTTGACCAAGTATCGTCAAGAAATCTCCCGCGATCGACACGGCATGAAAAGGCCTACGTCCAGCAGCGGATTGATATAAAGTGCTGTAAATTATTATTTAGGATTACATTTATCAGAAATACGGGGTCGTAGAAAACTGGAGATGTGCGTCAGAGGGACGCAACCGGAAAAACACAATTAAAATATAATATATTGTTATATAGCCTCATGCAAATTGCATCCCGAGACTCTGAACGTCGCTAACCGCAGGAGAGCACCGCGGGGACACGACGCGAACCCGGATCTCGGGGCTAGCGGGTGAACACCGCAGGGACTGGGGGCACGGCGTCGGTGACCGTGAGACATCCCGACATCGCAGAGAGAGAGAGAGGGAGAGAAGGGGAGAGAGTCCAGGGAGTGGCCACGAAGGTGTCCACAGGGCCAAAAGCCTGGAGGATGCCCCATCTCGTCCACAGAATCAGAATATTGATTTATCCTGGGAAAAATCCGAAGAGCTGTGAAGCTTTTTTTTTAACACAGATGTCCAACCCCAAAATCCCCTTCTCGGAGGCAAACAAGGAGACCACAAATTCGCGTGTGTACCCAGGAGTTGAGATATTAAAAGACAGACTCCTCAAATCAAAATGATGACATAAACGAGTCTAACGAGAGCAGGCTGGAGTTCGGTTTGAAAAGCTGAACTTGCGATTGAAAAGTAAACAAAACCGATGTAGCTAAAGAAGAAATGGTTTAATCAGCTCGTGCACATTTCTATCACATGCGATAAATATTTGGACAAAACACCGAAGAGTGCACAAAGAAGCGATGAGAGGATACGCGCTTGGAATTACATCGAGAGAGAGAAAGAGAGATGCTTGGATTAGAGAATATACGCAGGCTAATGAAGTAATTCCAAGCTGTTGCAAACAGTAAGTGGGGTTGGGCCGCACACGTCGCTGTAAGGGATGATGGCCGATGGTCAGTAATTGTAATGGAATCGGAGCCAAAAAATAGGGGACGTGTCTGATGAAAATGCCCCTCAGGTAGATTGAGCAACGCAGTCAGTTGATGTGCAGGTGCATGGGGAATCGTCGCACTGCTGGATCGTGAGACGTAGCGGCGATTTTGGGGAGGCTTTCATCCAGCAGCGGATTGATTATGGCCGACGATGACGATGGCTGCTGTGCTCGGACGTTAGTTGGTGTCGTGTTTCCCCCGTCTGGAATCGTCGTCAGTCGGTGGAGGTGGCGCGTGAAGACCCCCCCCCCCCCCCATCGCTCCGGGACGAGAGGTCCACGGGACTTCCCCCTCTCCGCCGCTTCGCAGAGTGGTGCAGCTCCTCCTGCAGGCTGTGCAGCTCCTTCCGTATCCTCTCCAGCTTCTCCCACAGGTGGCACGTGGCGGCGTGACCCTGGGGAAGGCCACCGGAGTGCGCTAGGGCGGCCCCGACGCCGGCCGCCGTCCCGTGCTCGGCCAGCGGCGCCCTCCCCGAGGTCGCCGTCGTCATCGTCGTCGCCGTCGTCGTCGTCGTCCTGCAGCCGGAGAGACCGAGCGACGGGAGAAGGTCCCGGCTGGTGCTGTAGTCAAGGGGGCGGCTGTCGTCCTGTCTAGGCACGTACAGGCGTTCTGCTGCAGCTGCTGCTGCCGCTGCTTCTGCCGCTGCGCCTGCGGCTGCAGGAGAAGGAGTGCTGAGGAGGTCGGCGGAGGTTACCCTTGGGCTAGGGGATGTGTCTGGCTCGCTTCGTGGTGACTCCTGCTGAAGGCCCGTCCTGGACGCAGGGCACACAGTCATACCGAGGGGTTGGCACTGTGAGCATTTTATGAGTTCCTGGACACGGTGTGGTACCGGACGTAGCCAACCGTGCTAATTCGAGGTGCGGGGAAAGGACAACAAACTAAACACAAAAGCAGTTCTAAATAAATTAGTTTTCGATTAAACGTGCGTTGTGTAATAAAATTGAATAATTTAGTATTTTAATATTTTCATGGCTTATTTATGACAATCCATTTTTAAGCTAAGTCATAAAATTTAAATGCCTCCATCAAACAATGAGCAATACGCTTCTCAATTGATGGCAACTGACCAATAATGGTTATTCCACATTCTCACGGCAAAGTCTAATAATAGAACAACTCTTAATTTCCTTCAAAGTTGCTCTCGTACGTGAGGCACACCAAGCGCAACAACAAAACATTGACACATTTAAACAAGACTGTCTTAAAAATTACCTGCAAACGTTACCCACTGGCAGCAGCTTCGACGGCGAGGGCCCAAAATTCACGAGCCCTGAATATTTTCGATGATCCTGGCCCGTCGAAGAATCCGGCACTACGTCGGCCGGCACCGTCCCCTCTCCCCTCACCGTCCGCCCGGGGGACGAAACATTCCCACGCGGCCGTCCCGCCCGCTTGCTCGCCGTGCCTCCGGACCGCGCCTTCGCCACCGGCGAGCTGCGACCATCGATTCCGTTCCCGGTCCGCTCGGAGGCTCGCAGCTGCGAACCGAAATTTGCCCTCTCCTCTCCGCCCGCGTCGTCGGGAGACGTTGCCGTTCGCGGGTTTTTGTTCCCGCGTGGCTCCCGCTCCGGTGTCCGAGCCGCGGCCGGCGGCTCTTTCGCGAGCCCGTCCGGTTTCCCCGGAACCGTCCCCTCCGCTCCGGGGTGCGCTGGCCTCACGGGCGCTGGCGCCGGTGTGTCAAGGTGGCCTGGCAGCACCGTCTGGAAGCGTCCGATGGACGAGACCTGGGGCGGCTGTGGCTCCATCGTCCCGGCCGCATGAGGCATCAGCGTCACGTAATTGAGGTTGCCCGTCACGGGAGGGCCCGCGATGAGCGTGCTCAGGCACTGGTACGGGCCTGGGTTGAACACGTACTGAGGGCTCATGGAGTCATGCAGGAACCCGCCTCCCAGGTTGGCGAGCAGCGCCGGCGGGTAGCACAGGAACGAGTGCCTGTGGGCGATGCTGGCCGGGGCGTGCAGCAGGGGCTTGGCTTGCGCGGTCACCATCCACGCTGGAGAAGAGAAGTCGGCGTCCGCAGCTCTTACGGCGCTGAAGCTGCTCTGTAAGTCGTCCACCGTGAACGAGCTGGGCTTGGTGGAAGTCGACTCCGAAAGCTTTGACGATAAAATGTGTCCTCCGTCTCTGTCAGGGTCCACCAATAACTGGGTTTTATACTGTTGGCTCCACTTCATGTCGAGTGACTTTTGGAAACCTTTGCATCCCTGCTCTGAGGAAAAGGGACAATTCGGCTCCCTAAGCCATCTCAGGTTTCCCCCCACATCTGAATCTGGCCCATTCTGGTCTGACGAGCCAACGGAGTTTTTCTCCCACAAGGAGTACTTGATCTCTGGGTCGCTTTCGAAGCTCGGGTGCAAGACGGCAGGACCCGATCCCGCCCTGTCGCACTCCTCGCCCGCGCCGTGTCTCCTCTGACCGACGACGGGGACGCTGGCGACCTTTGCCCTCTTGCCGGGCCACTCGCCCTCGGCCAGAGAGATGGAGTACTTGCAGAGGCTGTACTTCATGTGGTTGTACAGGTGGGATTTCTCCAGGCACGTGAATGGGCACTGGAAGCACTTGTAGTTGAAGGGCTTGCCGCACGGCCGCGGGATGTAGTGGGGCTTCTTGGGCTTGCGTTCTTTGCCGTGGAAGGTGGTGCGTGACCTGCCCGGGGGCTCGCCGTCCCGTCTCTCCTGGGCGGTGCAGTGTGAAAATTTCATGGCGTCTGCCCGGGGTCTTGTTGCTGGAGCAGCGACGGCCGGTTGGCTGCAGTTCTGTCCGTGACGTTTGGCGATCTGGGTCTTCTACAATGGATCGTTCCTCGTGGGATATTCTAGGTAAAATATAGATAGAAAGAACAAAAAAGCATTCTCAATGCATTGTCATTTATATATAATTGCATTTTGTGAAGTAAAAAAAAGAAAAGACAATTAGTGTGTTTCGATCATCGCTTAACTGGCTCACTGACGCTCTTGGCAGATTGCCCGACTCGGACAGGTCATGAGTTCAAATCCCAGTCGGAGGTCAACTCTACCGATCAATCCTCTGCACCAATAAGCAAAAAAAAGCCAAAGTGTTTCCCCCTGCCACACGTGTGTTGAGCAGTGGTTCTTCACATTCGTGGCCTTAAGTCAATTTGTGGAAAGTCAATCAGGAGTGGTCATCCGATAGTGAAACCGGTCCGAGCCGTGATTGTTACAAATACAGCCCTGCTCGTAGGGGCTTCTCCACGCTCTGTGGCTCTGGGGGGGGGGGGGTGGTTATTTAACTCTACTTCACCACACTGGTTATTGCATGTTTGCAAATGATGAAAACATATTTCCAGGAATTGGTTCAGATATCAAATCGGAAAAAAACGTAATTAAGCCATGAGAAAAAAGTAATTTCAGTTTGACAGGTAGGTTCATAGCGAACTGCACAATACCGCTGCACCACGTTTGCCGCCGCCCGTTCACAATGCTGCCCCGCGAGACAAGTGCTCCGCTTGGCGTATTCCCATTGCGCCGGTGGGGCGCAGGTACAGGGGCCCTGCGGGGTGCATTCTCACGTGAGAAATATTCCCGGCGCATGCAAAATCCCACCGCCGCGTTGTTTGTGGTTCAAGCGGAGAGGGGCCAGGCACGAGGGACGTGCGATGCCTGCACAGAGCCCGGCGATTGCAGGGATTACGCGAGCAAGAGATCGTGGAGCGAGCAGCTTCATACACTGACATCCTCTTCGACTGCTGCAGCGATGGCCAATCCATTTACAATTGGTTTTTAAAACTAAATAATTAGGATGCATGCACAATTGTAATTGAACACTGCATGCGAGGCAGTGAGATGGTTGTTCCAGACATTTGTTAAAACGAATTTTTCACTGATGGCTGCCATTGGAAATTGGCAGTGGTGCACGACCACAAATAACAAAAGACTCAACACATTTGTCAATCACACTGTGGCCTTAGAATGAAACGTAGATCATAAGCAACATTTCGGGGCACGATGTCCTTCTTTGTACCTCAAAATAGGTGGCAGAAACCCAGGAGTATGTGTGTGTGTGGACCATCTCTTCTCTGGTATGGGCGAGAGAAGAGATGGGCTGATGTGGTATAGGAGGATATGGAGCTGAGTGGACTGGCCAATGACTGGTACCAGCGGTGTCAAGATCAGGCGGATGTTCGTGAAAGACGCTACTGGCCACTTGCAGGCGGTCGCCTTCAAAAAACAGCGGAGGGCAGAGGAGCGACGCTCACAACAACGAGCGGAGTGCCGGGTGGATAAAACACAGCAAGTTGGCACAGTCGGGGGCACAGGTGTTGCATCTGTCAGTCATCTCAGTCAGCCAACCATGGCACCTGGGTCTGTCCCGTGTCCTCCGGCCAGCTATCCTTCGACACTTCACATGGCCTCAAAATGCACCGAGCTTTGGCACAAGCGCCGTCGTGACATCACCGCCACAACGTTGCGAATAGAAGGTGGTGGTGGTGTTGTTGTTGTTGTTTCGGATTCGCGGTGGGTTCAAGAGCACCAGAGAGACACGGCGGGAAGCATTGGTCATCGACACGGCATGATTCGTTTTTTATGAAAGTCAAGATGCTGTGACTGCTGACAGAGGAACGACCACCGGGTTTTGTCGCCACGTGAAAATGAAAAAAAAAATCGAAACACAACTATATATTTGTTAAAGTTTCTAAATCTTAATACTGTACAGCCCTTTGTAAATCCACTGCTTGGGCGAGGATCCCTCTACACTATGTCTGTCATGTGGGCTGTTTGACCATACTTCGCCTCGCTGGTCAGTACAGGTTGGTGAAGGTGGTGGTGGTGGGCCCCCCTTTCAACAGGTTCAGAAAAATGTTGCCACTGATGCGAGCCGTGGCCTTGAACTCAGGTCACCGGGTTCATAGTGCATGGTGCGTTGTGTTTTTATTGTAACACATTTTCTGGTCTCGAAATGTCTCATAGACTCTTCTGATCGTGTAACTTGAGACTGGAGTAATCTCATCGAACACACGAACCTGCCTCATCCATCTGTGATGCTGCACATGCTCAGGTGTGACATGCCCGCACCCACACAAACACACAAAGAAAATGATTACAGACAAAACCAGTTTATCGGCTAGGGGCATTGCCTGCATTCGTCACCTCTCTTACGGCCTACAGCACAGCGCACCACTGGGTGCCCGTCAGCTTAGTAAACAACCCGGTGTATGTTTACAACAACAAAAAGGCGATAATACAAACATCATCGACCATTATCATTGCAGTTTAACACGTAGGCTTTCGCGACCAATATTATTCATAATCAATGTTTTTGGGTTAGATTCCGAAAGTATGTGTCGTAACCCTCTACCACCCGACACAGCCAATTAGTAAATCCATCGCTGGATTAAAATTCTCACCCAAGCTGGCGACATATCTCATGCTCCTGCAATGCAAAAAACAAATCAAATCCATCCGGCACCTGCGCACGTGCCGAATTTGTCGCTCCATCTCCGCAGTGATGGGGCTGCTATGAGATGCGTTCGCTCTTGGCAGTCCGTCCGTCCGTCGTCACTGCCAGCGGACGCGTCGTGCCCAAGTCAATTCCGCCCTCGTTGACAGTAGGCGGTGGTGTGTCCGGAAGCTTGCTCCGTGTTCTCGAATGCACGTGGGGGAGGGGGGGGGGTCCTATGTCTATCTCGCAATTCGTGCTGCGCTTTTGCCTGAAGCCCGCTTAGTCCACGGGCCACGAGCGGACATTGGTACCGCCGAAATGTGAACTTATGGATGGTATTTTTCATCGTATGTCGGTTTTCTCGGGGTATGTACGTATGTATGTTGAACTTCTTTCACACCGTAGGTAGCCAACCGTGCTAATCGGGAGGTGCGGGGGAAGGACAACCAATTAAACACTGCATGGCTAATACGACTGAATTCGTGTATAATGCCGCTCATTTCAAGCGGTTATTCGACGCATAAAGAAAACTGGAACCCTCTAAACCAAATGTTCTTAACCTTTACTGTACCTTTGCACCCCTTTGGTTCTCAAAGGGGTGCAAGGGTACAGTTAATAAATACATAGAGGGGATTGATGAAACAATGTAGTTGTACTTACGTGCCCGTGCTTAAATTGCGTTTCGATGATTTTCCTTCTAAAAAATAAAAAATCTCGCCATGTCTCGCACCCCCAGAAAGGGCATCTCGCACACCCAGGGGGTGCGTGCACCCCAGGTTAAGAACCAGTGCTCAAAAGTGATGCCACCTCGGGTGGGGCCGAAAAGTGAAATATCTCTTCTTTACTCATGAACTATAACGTTTCTGGTGTCGCAAACAGGCCCAGTTCACTCTGCGCACGTTTCTACGGCGCAGAATGCTTAATTCGTAATCTAGATGCCTGAAATGTTGAACCCAGTCGGGGTTTGATGCAGATTCCTCTGAGGTGGACAACATGAGTACTACTTTTGTGGGAAATCAACGGTGCTTGTACTGTGGATAGACTGGCCCCCGTCGCAGTAATGTGGAATTCCCACCACTGGCTCAGGACCACCATGGAGACACTTTGACCTTATCCACTTATTGTCTGAAGCTGTTGCAGACCTAACCAGACAACGCGAGTGAGACTGTCACACGGAGAGCAAAAGTGTTTTTAAAGTTCAAAAACGTACACTACTACAACTGACGCTTGTCCCCCCCAAGAAAACTGGTCTCATGGCCACTTCCAAGGCTTATAAACTGGTCTAATGGCCACTTCCAAGGCTTAAAAACTGGTCTCATGGCCACTTCCAAGGCTTAATTTCAACCGGATCTCTCTCTTCCGCACCTGGCACACCACGTCCAATATGTCTCTCGTGATGACTGTGGCTACTAGTCACGTGTCTATACTTCAGTCTTCAAGCAACGCAGAACATATTCTCCGGGAAACGAAGCCCCCTCTGTGCGTATATTTGTTAACACATCAACTACTGGACATCTGTGAAAAAGAGTTTCATGGCTCATCGGATTCCTCCAGTATGAATACATATTCTGATGCTCATTCTGAACTGTGCAGCCGTGATAGGAACACATTATGCTCCCAGAGAATCGCACCACACTCCATCGCCCTGGCTGCGTCCCACGCGCCTCCCTTTTGCGCTTGAGCGAGCTCCTGTCAGAGCCCCCCTCCCCGCCCACTGCATTCTCATCTAGCCGACACGCTGCGCAAATCAGCATTTCTTTCATTTCACTGCCAAGGATTTAATTAAATTGGAACCATCCAAATACAATGGTACGAATTTGATGTTAATTCACTGTTGAATGAAAAAACTCCTTGAGCCTTCTTAGTCAGAGGGATTATTTGACCATACTTCACCATGCTGGTTAGTGGGGGGGGGGGGGGGGGGTAGAGCAGAAGTCGTTTAGAAATCACTCACCAGTTAATTTGCTGTAGATGGGAATTGAATTCGTGTCGACGAGTTCATAGCGCAGTGGGAAAACCACTGCACTACCGTAGTACTCTCAAAACACAAATACTGTTTTGTAAAAAAATAAAAAAATTCTAGACATGTTTTTTTTTCCCAAATGACGAGCCTAACGAGGAGGTGCACAAACGATGCATGAACATGAACAGGTTTCCGCATTCATGGAGTGTTCACTTCGTTGACGCGAGTTGAATTTCTTCATATGAATTCAGTCAACTGAACTCGAGTAATTTCATCGCTCGAACTTCTTTTCTCGTCGATGACAGCCGGCTGATTGGCGCGTGCGGTGCCTGTGGTCCACGCGTCACCTCTCAACCACGTGGTGCCTATGGTCCACGCGTCACCTCTCAACCACGTGGTGCCTGTGGTCCACGCGTCACCTCTCAACCACGTGGTGCCTGTGATCCACGCGC